CTAGAGAGGGGATGAGCAGGAAGTGTTCATAATGCCGTAGAAACCTAAGTGGCAAGGGGAATAAATGGCAGCCTGAACTTTCCCGGTGTACAAAAATGTGTGGCTTTTTCCCCATTTTCAGAGGCTGACTGACGTGTTCCGACGATACGATACTGATCAAGATGGCTGGATTCAGGTGTCCTATGAGCAATACCTTTCCATGGTCTTCAGCATCGTATGACACTGATAACTAGGAATTGCACACTGGCATTACATGGACTGGAGCTGCCAAATCATCCCCTACTGAATAAGATTATTGATGTATTATAATGGATAGAACTTCACATTCTTAAATTTTGTATGTCGGTCGTCACCTTCAGAGTCTGTACTTGAGTTGGTTTTTTATTTTGTATAGCTGTACGATATGACCATCTCCGCTTACTGTAGTACAGAAAGCACAGAATCTAGATTTAAGTGGTGCGGTATCAAACTTAACCCTCTTCCACATATCCTGCATGGAGAAAAATGACTCTTTAGAAATGCCAAATTAAAATAATGCTTGTTAGTTTATAAGAGAGTTGAAAGTCTGAAGTTGCACAACGTTTTGCATGTGCCTTACTTTTATAAGAGTTTAATGTATTAATTTTTAATACAGAATTTAAAATTAAATAAAAATATTAGACCAACTTTTATAGCCTACTTCACTTTTATACAGCTTTTTTCAAGGGGGTGGTGGTTTTATTCCTGCATTCTAGTTTTCTGTGGTTTAGGGGTCCCTCCCACTTAACAGCAATAGCCTTTTATTCTCACCTTTTCTAGCTGCCTCCTCCTTTCCAGGGTATTCTTGGGACATCTTCAAGTAGAACTCTTTCACACCTCTGTCTAATACTGCATCTTCCTCACTGAGTTCCCTACAAAAATAAACTCTTACAACCCTGGATGTATAGTTCAGTTCCCTCTGCTCAGTGGGCTCACTTAACAGCAATAGTCTTCCTTTTTGTATGAAAGCACTTACTTGAAGTGGCCTTGGAGTGACAGTCAAACCTTCTCCTAACCCCACCCTCCATCTCACCATTTACAGTTGGTGAGGGACATGGTGGAAAACCTGAAGCAAAGCAGTAATGAGAGATTCCTGCCCCACCCCCTATCCTGCAGTAACTTGGAGGAAGCAAAGAGAAGTTAACAAGTTCTTAGACTGCTCTAAGAAAATCTTACACCAGAGCACTACCTAAAATACTTCCTTAAAAGTACTCAAGCAGCAATATTACTCACCTGTAAGTGAGACTCTTCAGGATATATTTACAGGCAAGAGCTTTTAGCTTTTATCCAAAGACTTTTCTTAAACTGTAGCAATACTGATTTATTCCTGGCTCCTTTCCCATCCCCAGCTCACTGTATGCAGGCAGCCCACACCTGCCCTTTCGCTTCAAATGTCATAATTACAGCCCCAGGCAGGTAAGCTGCTGTTGTGGGAGTGCCTATACATAAACTGATGCTGTCAGTGATCTCAAGCAGATATCAAGCAGATATTCCAAGCGATTATGCAGAGGGTTTGGGTCCAGACACAGAAATTACATCCTACCTAAAAAAAAAAAAAAAAAATCCTAAAAAAAAAAAAAAAAAAAAAATCAGCATTACCATGTTATTCCCAAGTGTCCCTGCCAGAGTAGTGTCAGGGTGGAGCCAGCCAAGTGGCAACCAGGCAGTTACCAAACATCTGTAGTGCAGAGAAGCTGCTACTAGTTGTCAAGTGATAATCAGTCACTGGGAGTTCAGCAACGTTTTCTAAAGGCTTTTCTGGTGTGAAGTACCTGGGGAAAGACCAATGGTCTCCACTGCACAAGCACACCAAAACAAGGAGCTCTCCCAAGGGGCAAGGGTTGTTCCTGCATAAAGTGAGAGAGCAGGAATAATGACTGATGTCAGAGACCACCCCCTCCAACAGCTCTGGATGAACTGTGAAAGTTACATTTAAGACAAGGGAGAAAGACTTTCACCAGTTACTGCTTGAACATCACCTCCTCAGAAGGCTGAGACAACCGCTATAGATGTTCTCTTCAGAAACAAAACAATGCAAGAGGAGCCCCAAAGTTTTGGGCTCAAAAGAACTTCTCCATTAAATGGTCCCATTCCTTTCCCACTAAGGAATCCATCCCTTTAGGTCACACATCCACCCAAATGAAAGGCAGTACTTCTGGGAAGCGTTCTGAGGCTCATCAATAGGTTTGAGGTACAAAACGAAAAAAGCTGGAACCTGGGAAGTCTCCCAAGTTGCCTCCTGTGAAGGGTGTCTCCTTTTCCAGCCAACCTTGTTATACATCCCTGTCCTCCGTGTAGAACAACTGGCTGCAGCACTTCCCAAAGGAGCCTTGCTGCTGCAGAGAATCACCAAAGCGCTCTGGGCTGGAGTGACCCTGGTCCCTCTGGGAAACGGATGCTTCCGAAGCTGGGAAAGCAGGTACAGCACAGACCAAGAAACTGGCTGGGGAGTAGACTGTTTATCCCCCAAAGCATGTTCTAGTCGGGATTTTTATCAATGGCTTTTGGGGGAAATGTGAAATTGGTTCTAAGGGCTCTGGTGCAGCCTCAAAACTCTTGCCTCAGGGCCAAAGCCTGTAGGGTAGCTGTATTAGTGCTGATGGCTGGCAAGCAGTTAACGTGATGCTGGTCTGCAGGCTATCACTGCCCACCTTGTGAAGGTTGGTTCTTGAAGGACCAGAGTCTAGAGAAACAGGAACAGGCAGAGGACTCCTCCTGCTCCAGTTCTATACTACATGGGAGCAAGACAAGACAAAGGGGTTTCCTTCAGAGTAAGGAGTAGCCAGAGGTTGATTCAAGGAAACTGGCCAATGCAGGAAAACAGAAGCAAGAGGAGGTCTTGGCTTACGCTAGCCTGTTGAAGAAGTAACTGGTAGGATGACAGAATTGCCAAGGCACATTTTTTTTTTTCTTTTCTGAGGTCTTTTTACTTGGTGCCTTTGGGGACACTGCTGGCCAGGTTCCAAAAAGGTCTGAAGCCTGGATTTCTGCTTTTCTCTTCCTACTGTCATCTGAATCCCCTTCTAAAGGTGGCGGGGTTCAACTGAGTGAGAATGAGTAAGGCAGAATCCAGTCACCATCTCTCAGAAGTCATGTTTGTCAGGTGAGCTGCTGGCTAGAGAAAGTAGTGAAACAGGCAAACAGATGCTGAGGGTGGATCATGTAAAAGAAAACAGTCCAAGTTGCAAGTACCTGGCCCTATGAAGGAAGGGAAGGTGTCACAGAAGCTCTCCAAGTGATACTTCATACTCACAATTCTATACGCGAGTACGACCGTCCTATGATTCTATGGAACTGAACTCCAAGTAGGAATGTGTTCCTGCAATAAGAAAGATGTTACTTCTGTTAAACAAGTCAGCTGTACCTGTTTGCAGGCATAGGACATGGAAAAAAAGAAAAAAAAAAAAAAAACAAATCTCTGAAACCAGTTGCAGAGGTGACAAATACAGACCAGAAGTCAGCTACACCCGGGTGCACCAAGCAGCAGACCCCAGGCCAGGTTCAGTACAGATACTGCACAAAGCTCTTTATTTCCAAAGCTGAGTTCATCTTTGGAAATAAGAAAGAAAAAAAGAGAATTAAGGAGAAAGCAGTGATGCAGCTGAAACTGGCTCAGCCAAGTGACTGAAAGAAACTGAGAACACCACACTGCTGGTAGTAATTGTACATAAGAGATAAGGAGGCTTGGACTGCACATTACACAATACCTTCAGCTTAAAAAAAAAAATCCCTACGTGATAGTGCTTATATATAAGAACCAGCAGACAATTATCTCAAGAAATTCACTGATTTTGGTAAGAACTGAAAATTGAAAGAGAGAAGGGAAGGGTATTTATAAGACTCCAAATGCCACCTACAGCTCAGGAAACCTGTAGTAAATCAATGATGCAAAGCATTTCCTCTCTTAACTTGGTCACTACTCACAACTCCATTTCAAAATGCAAGAACTGTCACCCCAGTGCAGGACCCTGCACAACAAGAAGCAGGGACAGGAACTATTCCCCAGAACAAAAGAAGGGAACGCGTAGGCAGAAAAAGCATTTAATTTGGGCAGAGATCATCCAGCTCCTGTATGCCACGGGGATATGCAGTAATGGTACTGACATCCCAAAGGGAGTGAAAAGTGGGGAAAAAGAGCTCTCTACCACAAGCTCACTTGAAAAGGCCTTGACTTGAATTGACAGAGTTGTAGCAGTAACATTGTCTAGTAACATTTTTTCTACAGTTTCAGAATTTTAGTTGCACTACACTTCCTGTGGAAAAAAGCTATGGTAGTAGCATTCATGTAAATAACTTCTGATCATTTTTAAATGTAGATAACTGATCAGTCCTGTGACGTTTTAAATCAAAACTCTGGCAGACACCTGTGGCAGAAAATAGTAATTTCCCCCTTTAAGCAAGAAGGTCCACTATGTAATTCAGCGGCTAAAAGTGGATGGCACAGCTACTAAGCGCATGCCATCAGAAACTACTTAAACCCTTCAGTAGGTATGAGAAGGAGAAAAGGAAATAGTGAACAGGAATGAAAAAGGGGAGTGGATCTTTTCTGATGCACAAGCAACACAGTTACAGGAGAACTTTATGGAATTAAGTTTATATGCTCTGTCATAAATTGCTTTGTTGCCTTTTTGTTAAAATTCACGGCAGGATACTAAAAGTTATTTTAGTGAATGCAAAAATATATTATGACAGCTCATGAGGATTAACCCTGTTTTAGCCCAAGAATTTAATGCACAGAGACAGAGAAATATTTCAGGTATGGGTGAGAAGGAAAATGATAGTCCACAACACAGCAGTGAAAAGGAAAATGGACACTGGGGAGTACATTGTCTCACTTTGCTTCTTTTCTTTAGCACCATGTAAGCTGGATTTGGTTACATAAAGTAGACACCTAAAGCCAGGCGTTCATGAGCACGTGTGAGGAAAAGAAAACAAAAGTATGGACCACTAATAAACATCATGAACTGCCAAGTATTCCGCAGTTAGTATATCATTGTGATTATTTATTTTTCCCTATTATTTTATCTGATTGCCTTACAGGTTCTACTATTTCTTAGTCTGCTTTCGCCAGTAGGAAGAATGAAGAATTTTTATCTTAGTATGGATCAGTCCATCAAATGAGTTTTTAAATTGATTTGTTACCATTTCATTCTGAACAACATGATAAAAAAAAAAATCTGCATGTATTTCATGTCTCTTTACTCTGAAAAATGAAAGCAAGTAATATGCCCCATTACATACCAATCCCGTGGAACAGATTACATTTTTCTTATCACACTGAGACAGCGGATACCTTTGCTGTGACACTCTCCTTTCTTTGTCTAAACAGAAATGTAGTGTATCAATTTCTAATAATATGCTAATTATAAAGCCTCCAATCAATTGACTTGTAATTTCAGTGAATATTTTTCTTAAGTAGATAACAAAAAATTAAACCTTTCTTTTTTTCTGAATTGGGAAGGGTGTTAAAAGGGTTACTAGCTTTTTGCTGACAAAACAACATTAACATATTTTCAAAAAATAACAAAAGATCTTCTTCTGTAATATACTAAGATATAACAAATACATTAAAAAAGCCTAAACAAAATAGTATGTTCACCTCCGTTATGTGCAAGTTTGTGTTCCAGCTATATTTCATGTTAAAAAATTAAACCCTACCTCCCTTTCCCCTTCCAGAACCAGTACAACACAAAATTAAATTCAGTCTCTTTCCTGAAAGCCGAGATGGAGATTCTCGAATCTGTTCATCTGTTTCCAGTTCAGCTGTTGTTGCTCCTTAATTTTTTCCTCTAGTTTCTACTAGCACATTGACTAATGTCTGAATATTTAGTTCTAGAAAGGGGAGATAAAAATGTTTCATGTTATTTCACACAATACAGCAGAGAACATTAAAATGAAAGTTTTACTGTTAACTAGCTACCTAGTTAATTAATTAATTCTAGTACCATAAGCATAGTTTGCATTTGTCCAAACTCACACCCAATGACAACTATGCAGTAGCACATGTCCACCTTCTTTTAAGTCCCTCTTATAATGTACTTGCAAAGGAAAAAATCTTTTATTTTGAAGAGTATTTTACTATTTTTAACATTAAGGAATATTTCTACAGTAATTGGAAAAAATAATTTGTCATATAACAAATCAGCTCTTTGATAACATTTCTCTTTTGTTATCCCAATGTGTCTGATCCATCTGGAGTACCTTCATCTATTATAGTGCCATCCAAGTTTGGTTCTGCATGCATTCCAACATTTTTTTTCCTTTATGCCAATACATTCCCTTCCCACAGTTGCCACCCCAACAGTACAAACTCTGATCATGCTATAAGATGCTAGTTATCAAGATGGCCTAGGACAAACCTTTCAATTCAGAAAAGGTTTGTGCTGTCAGAATTGCCTCCCCCTCACAGCTCTATTAGTTGTCAAGCTGCAGAGTCTCCTCAGAGAGGCAATTAACGGCATTTTTCAACTGATACAGCTGTTGAGCAAAATGAACTCAACTGCTCTGAGCAGAGCGTACTATCTCTGCAACACGCAATCTCCTGCTTACGTTAAAGCAACTATGTTGGTGTAACTAATTTTACATGAGAACTAACCACAATCTTACTTTGAAGTGCTGGATAATATGGAGCCAGCTGTTTGAGCATCCTGGTCACTGTAGCTATATCCTTTCCTCGTAGTCTATTCAAAATGTTGGGAGTAAGACCAACAGCATCTTCATCAAATATCTTATCCGAGCTTCCGAATTGCTGGTAATCTCTGTACGAACCACTGCCAGAAAACGAGTACTGATGTGAACTCCAATCACTCTTGTAGTCTGACTTCTGATGCCTGAATCCGCGACACCTAGCTTCCTGGCTCCAGCTAGACTCCTGGCTCCAGCCAGAGCTCTGGCTCCAGCCAGAGTCCGCATTCCACCTGGAGCCACCTCTCCCTGAAACAGCAGAATCTGCAGAAGATGTACAAGTATTCACAGACTCATCATTCTTGTAAGAGGAATAGCTTTGCAAAGGATAGTTTGTGGAGTATCTTCCAGTTGAAGGATAAGAGGCAGAAGAATTGGCATAGGGTAATCCTTGATCACTCATACGCCTCGCTTTTGTACACGCTTGTTGATTCCCCCAATTTGTACTTTCCCTACCATATGAGATTCTGTTATCAGGGAGCTTACTGCCTCGCACATCACTGGACATATATTCTGCCGAGTACTCACTCACTGGACTTGTCTCATAGGAAGAGGCCCCACCAGCTGAATTATTGCCAGAAGCAGAACGACTGAACTGTCTCAGCCATTCACTGAGACCACTGGCAGGACTTCCAGTCTGAAGAGCAAAAGAGTCCCTGAGTGCAGACATCGTTGCAAAGTCATTAGATCTCAGTCCATAGGAAGAGGATCCATCATCTGTTTGGTAACTGTATGAGTTAGCAGAAGCCAAAGAAGCATCTGCAGAACACTCTTCATACTGAGACAAAAAACCTTGATTCCAGTTAGGATTTCCTGAATAAATAAATACATAAATAATTAAATGGCACCAAAAGTTAGCAAAATATTAAAATATCAACCAAAACCACAACTACTCTGAGGGTTTATGAAGTGTTCTTCTCCCGTTCTTTTCCCATTTCCTGCCCTTATGTCTTACCTGAGATTGCCTTCTTTTCACCCCAAAATCCTCATGTTAAATGTTAGGAAATCTTCACGTTAAAGGTTAGGAAAGGTTACCGCTTGGATTTCCAATAAGCTTTACTGCTGTAAGTAAAGGTTAACACTAGCTGAAGGTGACCTTAAATATTCAGCTCCTGTTATGTCTTACCTATTGTTACAATCTAATTATACATTGAGCCAAAATTTATTGCCTACCCCCACTGGAATGAACCTTACATTGGTGAAGAAACTACTAGAACACAATGACCTGTGTCAACTGCTAGAATGCACACGAAACTTTGGACACAAAATTCCAAACACTGTTCATCGTGATACAGAGATATGTCTTGGCAAGAGTGAAGAAGGATGGAGAACACCACTGGTGGGAAACTCTCCTTGGATGGTCACCGACAGCAACGACAGTTTTTAGTTTCATGCTTCACCCAGTTGGGATTTTACTAACTCTAATATGTCTATCGCTTAGAATTATATTGTATATAAAGGTTTGGTACATGATAAAACAAACAACCCAACTCCAACCACCCGAAACATACAAGCTGATACAGAGCAAATAGCAGTGCTTCACTATCTTCCTACCACGGATCTATAAGTGCACACACTATCAATATACTATTTATGGCACAGAGGCAAGATGTGACCATACCACCACTCTGTGAGGGTAAGATGGATTGACTAGAGTCATGGGCTGGAGTGTGGTGGTGTGCTCCCCCTGCCCCCTCTCTGCTTAAAGCGTTAGCCACCAGTGGTGGTCGTGGTGGCTGCGTCTGGTTTAAGCTGGACTCAGAAGAGACAGATAACACAACAGGTCAGGGCCATAAAGCTTGCTCAACAGCTACAGGCTAGTTCAGCACTTGCCAACCAAAATACAGCTGGTATGCAAATATGACTATAAGTCAAGCACCTTACTCCATAAATAGTGGACAGCCCAGAGCCTGTTGAGCTCTCCTGCATGGCAACAGGCTGCACACCAGGATCTCCCCCTGAGAAGGGACATCTCTCAAGGTTACTCCTTGAGGTTGAGAGAATCCTTATCACAGCAGATTATTTGGAAAGCGAATTGGGAATAAGCATGCTGAAACTTTGCAGTCTTAGCTAAGTGATATAAAGGACTGAGTACACACATATAATCCTTTAGACATAAACCGTTGACCAACTCTGGGACTAGGACTGGATCCAGCCGCACCCAGACTCCTCTGAGAAGGAGTTTAAAAAGCTAGGGGGTCCCATTCTGAACCTTGTGGCTCAACAGGAGGGTTTCCCTGACAGTTTTGTCTGACCCTGTCCTTTATGCAGTAAAAATCAAGTGAACTTTGCCACTGAATCTTGTTAAACCACTGCTGCATTTACTATCAAACTTTGTTAAATCACTATTTTATATCAATAAACATATTGCTACTTCTCTCTGAGTAAAGTCTGTCACTCCATTCATGACAGCCTAAAAGGGCAAAGACACACACTACTCTAGCAAAGGAGTATGGCTGACCATAAAAGTAAATTTTCACAATCTGAGTGGTGTTAAGAATAAACTTAAATGAGTAGAATAAAGTATCTAAATTACCTTTGGATTTTCCATATGGCTTATAGTGTTTTGGGATGCTTTTCCTTCCTGGAAATTCATCCTGAGATATTGACATCAGCGGCCTCAGACTATTAGTATAATTAACCTAGGTAAAGGAAAAGGTCAGAATGTCTGTTTTTAAACTCGAATCTTGAGCATTCTAAAAAAAAAAAAAATAATAGCAAGATCCTCATAGAAAGTTAGCAGAGTACAATTTTAGATGACAGCAAATTCCATATGCAAGATGTGTTGTTCTGTTGTTCAAAATTACCACATTAAACCACAATTTTCAAAAGTATTATTTGGAAGAAGTACGTGCCTGGAGAACAGAATGAGGTGTCTGGGGAAGACAGTGTCACCTATTTCAAATTTCTTTATTGCCCCATATCCTCAAGATCATCTGGCTAAAATATAGAACTGGCACATATGCAAATCCTGTCTCTGGCTGGAGAACGCAGAACGGAAGGCTCAGCTACTGCCTGAGATTAAGCTATGGCAACAGTTTTTAAGTAGCTCATGAGAACTGTATTATATTCAAATACATGACACTTTTGAAAGTGTAGCACTCAAAAAAAGTGGTGGTGGCATTTGCACAAAGAGAGTTATACCATAGCTTAGCTGGCGTGGAATATATTATTAATGCTTTAAAAACCAATCTGAAATACCTTTCAGAAAAACACATGCTGAATTTTGTGAACTAACAGCTGACAGAAGTGACGAGTAATTATTGTACAGATTCTGGTCCTTCTTCAGAAGCTTTTTTCTACAGGTATTTAATTTTTATCCAAAGCAGCTATGGAGGTTTTCTAGGGGCCAACAGGAAGACAGTGTCCTGGTTTAGGCTGGGACAGAGACAGGAACATCTTGCCTGCCTTAGTCTTAACAGATTAAAGCTCTCAACTGGGAGCAGAGCTACAAGTCACCAGAAAGACTTATCCACATGCCCACAAAAGAAAGAAGTGACACATTCGGGTAGCATTTAAAGTCTCATTAATCTTAGAAAAAAAGCTATCAAGCAAGGGACCAACTGCAAAGGAAGGATGACAACCAGACATCATGAAGCAAAATGGTGCCCAAAACAGGGGGAGAACATATGCCAAAGAAAACCAAAACAGATGGAAGATGATGGAAAACTAACAGAAACGTGCCAGGCAATCTATGTGGTTCTTAGAAACTGTAAAAAAAAAAATATATAAAGTATATTTAACTGGGGGTTTTTGACCTATGCCTGACGTGTTACAATTTGGCAGGGTGTTAACACAATGAGTTCAACCACTCCTTTCTTCCCCCAGTGATAAAACATTTCTGGTCAAGATTAGCCTACTTACTGCTGCTTTCTTTTCACAAAAGGCCTTCAAAGCTTCTGTGAGTTCCTGTGTAATATGAACAACAAGTGTTGCTTCTGAATCTGAGGTGATGTGAAAAGTCTCCTGATGAAAAACAATTAGAATTGGTCATTAGGATGCTGAAGGGCCATATCCACAAACAGACCAAAGTTATACTTTGATTTTTTTATAACGAAGTTGAGATAAGACATATATAATATATGCATACACACACATATGAAAAAATAAAATTGTGAACATAATAATGGGGTTATAAAAGGTAAAACATAAACCTGGATGCCTGTGTCACTCCCATACTGTCAATCATGAACATTTTGCTGCAGATGGAGAAGGGCACAAGTCCTAAATTTATGTTGTCTGTGCATAAAATTGAATAAAAAGTAAGATTCAGCACCATCAAATGCCTTTGATTCCCCCATTTTAGTAACAAAAACGAAAGTTCCCATTATAATTTTCCTATATGCAATTTTGGGAATAAGAGATACCAAAAGATACTGATGTAACTGTAAAGTGCAGAACAATTATGGCTGTCTCTTTAATATCCAGAAAGACTGATTAGCAAGTATATGAAGTGATTACAGTAAGTTAAAAGAATATAGGCAGACTGCCGTAAAGAATAGCCTTGATTTCTGTAGATAAAAATCAATTAAGTGTCTACTAAGCATTTCTGGTAGTTTGCTGATTATCCCCAGACTGGCTTTTTCTCTACTTCTTCCTAAAGTCACAAATAACCACAGCTTAAAGGAAAACCAATAGAAACTGAAAGAAAAAAAAAAAATCTTCAATTAGTAATGAAGCCCAAACATTCCCTTTGTGGTTTCAGTGTATAAACAGTTCAGACTCAAATGACGTTTTGCCTTAGGTACAGAACAGGACTTTCATGGAGTAAAATCGTGAATATAAACAGTCATGTATTTTCACAACATAAACCCAAAAGACAAACTGATTCTCACTATGCCACTGCTAACAGCAACTGAACTGATGAAACTTCCCCACTCCAACACCGGGAGCTGTGCTCTAGTATCACCCAGTTCCATTTGGCTGGCCTGTTCTGCCACAGCATCACAGGCAGCAAGACAGGACTGGCTCCTCTCATTCAGCATTATCAGCAAACCCATTAGATATGGGCAGCCAAGAGCACTTGAGCAACATCAGTGCTGCTAACACTGCTTGTCAGGGTGGCTCCTCAGCAAAGGGAACAATGATCCAGAGAACAGGCAGAGACCTCACACTTAAAGCAGCAAGTTGTTCTGAGCTGACATAATGCTACAGCTGCACTAGCTTTTCACAGAGCAGAGCCCATTAAAATAAAACTTAGAAATTAATGTTGTGGTCAAATGAGTTTGATCAGTAATCAGAGGCTCCTTCACAGTATTCATTGCATCATACTGTGAAACTGCACCACTCTTACCAATTATTTTACATACGTACCAAGAATTCTAGAGCTTTCTGTTTCCGAACAGGATCATTCTGTGGGATTGTAGAATGGGGAAGAAAAATTAAAAGACTGAATACCACAGTATTTGTTTTATCATCTGGTACAAAACAAGATCTTTTAATCTTTTATCCAACAACAGAAGTCAACACGAAGAAAAGAGTAATTTTAGGTCACAGACATAAACATATAACATTAAGAGTCTCAATAGCAATTAGGTAGCAGCTACTGCAAATACAACTGCATTACTTCCAATACTGGGAAGAACACATTCCACATCTAAGCTACACACCTACAACAGCTGTCTTTCCCAGGCTTTCCTCACTCAGGTCCAACCTCGTGTTTAAAAAAAAAAAGGCAAGTGCCCCGCTGCAGCTAGCATAGTACCTGACCAGCCTGAGGCCTAAAAGAGCAAGACATCACCACAGAACACACCAGAGTACAAAACCTCTGCCACTAAGATAAAAATGAGGTACTTTTCAGTGTTAGTGCCCAGTGCTCTTCAGGACAGCTACTTGAGAGATAATTTTGAGTTTCACCTTTGAGTTAGAAAAAAGGATTGTAAATCTTTAGAGATATCTTAGGTTTAAACCAAACTGTCAGTACAGAATACCTTTGATCTGAAAAGGGGCAAAACAGACAAGTGGAGACTGTAGCACAGGTTGGGAGACCTGGTCTGCAAACACTGGGTCTGAGATTCTCAGTGGCTTCAAACAAGAATTATGAGAGCTAAGGTAGATGAGCATCCTGATGTACAGGATTAATTTCCCCTCTGCTGTGATGAACACAGAATTCTGGTCATTAAGTCAATTATCTTGCTTCTGCAATACTACTAGTAAAATAGCAAATGAATCCAAAGAGTAAAAGTTTTTCAGAAAAAATAAAGGCAAGCATAAGGAAACTGTTACCACATAAAACACTTATAGAATTACTGCCACTACATACCTCATGCTTATAATCATCCTCCCACCTTAGAAAGAAAGAAATTACAATATTAAGACGCATTCTAAAGATTACTAAAAAGTTTGGTTTACTCATAGTATCTATAATCAAAGTATCTCCATTTCCAAATGTGTTTCACTTACCAATATGGAATATCTTTTTCTATAGCATATTTAAAATACTATTAATTCTTAAAGGTCCTTATCCTGATTGACTCTCAGAGAGAACAGTAGCACTGATAAACTTTACAGATCAGCTAAAGGAGATGACTAAAATAATGGTGGGTTTTTTTCTTCCTACATGAACAGAGGTGCCTTTAATACAACTTAAACACTATTTGGGATGCCATTGCTAACAGCCTGAAATTTGAACGGCAATTTCTTTGTGTATGAGTACATCAGACTGCTACTGAACTGCATAACTAGTGGAATATTTCAAAAGCCACAGCTGTTACTTCCTCACAGACAGAAAGGAACAATTTACACATGAGAAATAAGTACAGTGGAAAGACAATATAAAATATTTTCCCCATATGTGATGCTTGTTACAGAAAAGTTGATCTATTTAATAAGTAAAGAGATTGCAAAAAAAAATTTTGTTGATTCCCCTGTGGGAATAGTGTTCTCACCTTGCCTTCTTCTTTGATGGGGCTAGAAAATTAAAAAGAATTATTAGCAACATCATAGGGTTTCTACTGTATTACTGTAATAGAAACATTACACAAACAGAACAGGTACTGGCCCTGAAGTGGCTCAGCTTCTTTAAAGGGCAGGATTCAGCAGCCTAAACCTAGGCACATACTGTCATTTCAGAAACCACCAGGCACCCCTGATGAAAGGTTTATGGGAGACTTGTGCCATGCCAGCTTTGCAGGGTACCCCACAGCATCTGTGTTCAGGCAGCTGAATCTCACACAAGAAGTCAGTAGATCGAACTGAGGTGGGCATGCCTCCTCTATGCAAAACGTGAAAAGGCTTGTGGTTTTGCTTTTTTCCTGTGAACACACCAGTGAACCTCAAAGCTCCACATAAAATAGCTCATTCTTGAGCAAGAAGTTATGGAGATTAGAATCTCTAATCACCTCTCTTGCTAGTACAGTGTATAAGCATGAGGAAGGAGAGAAAGCTCAGTAAAACAAGGTAGTCTAAGACAGTAGCTGTGTTTCACAGATTCATCTACTGCATGGTACATAACTTATTACTTCTTAAGTATTTATCAGCATAGGTGTTCCAGGATAAGCAACAGGACAAGTAACAATTCTCAGGACAAACGACATCTTTGCCCCTACAAGATGAGGCTGAAAGACTCCTGTTATTTTTTTAACCACCCAACGTTGAACACATGTTGATGACTTGTAACAAGATGTTGCACTGTAGGTCCCAAAGTTTTCTGGATATCAGGATAGAAAAGGACTGCCACCATTTCACAAAGATATCCAGTGAATTAAGAATCATGGAAATGTAGGATGGGAGGGACCTCTGCATGCAGAATCAGAGAACCATAAAACAGTTTAGGCTGGAAGGGACCTCTGGAGCTCATCTAGTCCAACCTGAGAGGTAAGAAAAAACTACCACAGCAGTGGTAAGTAACAGAAAACAAACAATTAACTGCAAAATGAGGACACTGACAATTAGAATAATTTTCCTTGAGTTATTCAATTTGTGTTGTCTTTCTAGTACGTCTCCAAAATCCCCCCATTTGAAAAGAAGATGGGTGGAGACAAGGAGTGCTACTCAGTCACTAGAAACTTCACCCTACTCAAGCAAATGACTGAAGTTCTGCTCACTTTGAGAAAGACTAGCCTCAAGACGAGATCAGGCTGCTTAGGCCCAAGTCCAGTTGAGTTTTATAAGTCTTCAAGAATGGCAATTTCCCACCTCTTTGAGTAGATAATTTCAGTGCTTGACCACTCACTGCAGAACTTTCTGAACGTTCAATCAGCATTTCCTTTATTGCAGTCTGTAAATGTTGCCAGTTGTTCTTTCCCTGTGCACCTTCTCAAAGTCTGGCTCCTCTGTAGCCATGCTTTAGGGAGTGGAAGACAGTAATCAGATCCCTTCCTTGCCTGCTGCCTTCTCCAAGGTAATCAAACCCAGCTACCTTAAGCTGTCCTCCATATCATATGCTCTAGTCTGCTCATGATCTTTTGTAGCTGGCGAGTCCTCTGCTGACTCTTTCCACTTCACCAAAATTTCCCATGTACGCAGGACACGGTGTTCCAGAAGCAGCTTAATGAGTCCTTACAGAAGGGAACAAGCACTTCCCTCAAACCGCTGGCTACACTTTTGCTAATGCAGTCCAGTATGCTGTTAGCCTTCATGACATCAAGAATGCATTGCTGATTCATGTTCATACTGTTTGTTGTATATCAAAACCTGCCAGTCCGTAAGATTTGCTCCCTAGCCTAAGAGTATCCAGTCTGCATCCAGCAGGCCATTGCTCCATTCCAGGTGTAAGACTTCACATGTACCTTTGCTGAAGTTCAGGGGGCATCTGACAGCCTATTCCACCAGACTGTTGAGAACCCTCTGAATGGCAGTCTTGCTCTACCACTGTACCAGGCATTCCTCCAATCTGATGCTATCTGCAAATTTGACAATGGTGCATTCTATCCCATTTTCCAGGTCATGAATGAACATGTGCTGACCCAAGGACAAACCACTGAGGAATGCCACTAGTAACTGGCCAATACACTTAGAATCACTGACAACTACTCCTTTTATCCACACTGTTGACTTACCTTATCTCCTCAGTTTGGCTGCAAGTGTAACATGGCAGACTGTGCTTCCTCCCCTGTCCACAAAGACAGTCCATGTCATTGTAAAACGCAAACCCAGTTTGCCCTTGGTAAATCCACATTGGCTATTCCCAGTCACCTCCTTGACCTTTACACACTAGTAAATGACATTTATAGTCTGGGACAGCTTGCAGCCACGATTTATTTTTGAAGATAAGCACATCTGGGTTTCTTCAGGTCCCCAAGGAACTCTTATGATCACCAGGCCCTTTCAAAGACCTTCTGAGGGATCAAACAGCTCCCTCAACACCAGAAGCATCCCTTTTTGTCCTATGGCCTTGTACGTGCTCAATTTGCTCTTCCCTAAATTATCCTTCTCTACAGTGGGTAATGCCATTCCTCTTTAAGCTTTACAACAATGCACAAATATCAGAGCAGACTTTCTCAGTAAAGACCAAGACAAAGAAAGCTACAAATACCTCAGTCTCTTCCATGTCCTTTATCACCAAGCTACTGACTTAGCAGCAGGCCCACATCATCTTTTGCTTCTGCCATACTTGCAGATGCCTTCCTGTTGCCCTTCATATTCCTTTCACCTCCAGGCAAGCTTTGCCTTCTTGATTTCACCCCCAATACATAAGCAATTCTTACACATTTCTTGTGGCAGTCTGCCTCTGCTTCTGCTCAGTGTATGCTTCCTTTTAGCATTTTAGATCAGCTAGGAGTTCCCTGCTCACACACACTAGCTACCTGCTATGCCTGCCCATATTCTTGGACAGCAGAACAGATCATTTCTGCTTTCTGAGGAGGTTCTCCTTGAAGACTGATTAGCTCTTTCAGGCTTCTCTTCCTCTCAAAGCAGCCTCTCAAGGGATGCTGACTACTAGTTTTCTGAAGAAGCTGAAGTCTGCTTCCTGAAGACCAAGGTCATTAGTCTGATATGTAACTTACTCATTCCCCAAAGGGTTTTAACCTGTATCATGTCATGATGGCTCCAATTAAAGCTGCCATTGACCATCACATTCCTGACTCCTCTGTAAAGCACTTCCTCTTGTTGATTTATCCAGCACCTGCATGAAAAACTGGCCTCAACTCACTTTTGGATTATTTGCAACCTGTCATGCTGCTTTTCCAGCAAAAGTCAGTCCCCCCAGGAAAACTGGGACCTGCAGTTGGAAGATTTCTTCCCATTATGTAAATACAGCCTTGCTACAGACTGCCTGCTCAAGGGGGGCAGACATTTACCATGAGGTTGTTCTGTTGGCCTTCTCTCCAGCACTGACCCGTAAGACCTCTACAACCCCCAGCCATGGCTGTACACAGAAAAGGTGCTCTTGCATCCAGCACAACTTCTACTGTCATCTTCTATGCCGTCTTTCAGAAGAAGCCCATATCCATCTTTTACAGCATTCCAGTCATACAAGCTATTGCGTTACATCTCTGCAATCCTGATGGTGTCACTGCTCTGTGACCACACAGGAACTCCCAGTTCCACCAGCTAGTCCAACCTCCCATGTGAAACAGGACTACTACCAACATAGGATTCTAGTTTTGTATAACCAGGTCTTGAAAACCTTCAAGGTGAAGAGTTCACTATCTATGGATAACCTGTTCCAGTGCTGTACTACCTTCTAGGAAATAAGTTTTTCCTGAGTTCAGCATCTCAAGCTACCATCTGTGGCTGCCACCTTGTTACATTGCCTGCAATTACCAATAACTCTGGCTTTGTCACCTTTGTAGGGGTGTACAGATGTTTGAAGGGCCATTATAAAATCAACACTTACCCTCTTCTTTCCCATTTTAAACAAACCCAGCTCCCTCTAACTCTCATCCTAGCTACATGCTCTTGACCCCTGAGAGTCTTCATAATCCTCTGCTGGATCCTCTCCAACTTCTCCATCTTCCCCTTGAACTAGAAGGAACAAAACTGGACACAGCATTCTAAAGTTTGGTCTTATCAGCATCAAATAGTAAGGGGATAATACTGCTCTTCAATCTGCTGCCTGTGTTCCTCCTGAAGTATCACAACATGAGATTTGCCTTATGCAAAATGAAAGAATTCTCTTGGCTCATATTCAGCTTGGCACCCACCATAACCATCACGTCTTTTTTAGCAAGACTGATCAGTCTGTCACTTCCCACCCTGTACTGATGCATGGAGTTATCACTTCCCCATTGAAGATACAGACAAGCTTCTCCAGGTATCTGCTATAATTTCAAGGAAGTAGTAATTCAATCTGAAAAGCCTGGTCTAAATCTGCAAAGTAAATCTCTGGACCTATTTCTAATTTGTTGCTGTATTATTTAGCAGAATTAAGAGTAGTATTTAGAAAGGGAAAAAAAAAAAAGACACAGGCTGAATTCAGAGACTAAATTAGACCAGAACTTTATATGTAATACTTAATATGTAATACACTGCTCATACACAGTGTCATAAGGCCTTCAAGCTCAACTCCCCACTGCACATGGTTATATGAATTACCTTAATAAAATAGTATTTTTAATCTGAAGCCCAAGAGAAAACACAGATCATCTCTCTATTAGAGAATAAAGAAATACAATTTTTCCTTTAAGAAAAGCAGCAAATCAATCACTTCAAGGTCTCTCATACATACACATATGTACGTGTGTGCGTATATATGTATATATAAGAATGCATAACCTTATCTTAGTTTTGTATATGATCTCTGCAGCAGCCAAAATTTGATGTTAACGTCCATTTTGCCTCTTGCAAAGTAGTACAATACACCAAATGGCCTTTCTTAATTGTATCTTCAAACTCACTCTTGCTGTCAGAACAGAGCTTTGAAGCTGGAAGTCATTCTCTGCCAATATGATTTAGTCTGAAGACACACAGCTCCAGTAAGCATTATTTTCATTTTTCTAAATAACAAGAGTATTTTGACTTTGGAACTCACTTGATATTGCCTTTACCACCTAATTAGAGTAAGACTTAATACTGAATGATACAACATTTTTGCAGCTAACTTCACTGTTGTCCATTCCTCCAGTTTTTCATGGGGACTGGAAGGGAGATCAATCTTTTTGACATTCAGGTTTGATATCTAAGCATGTCTTCCAGTTCTACAGAAGTCAGTAAACATCAATGTCAACTTATTCTGAACTGAGAATTACTGAGCTAGATTTCTGGGTCACATTCCATCATCTTCACAAGAGACAAACAGAGCTCATAAAGGGTCTTTGCGATCTTGTTTCACAGAACATTAAAAGGAACAATCCACAGAAGCCACCAATGATCAATCCAAGAAAACCCACTGCTATGGTAGGCACCTACAGCAGGATTCACACTGACAAACTGTTGATCTATGCAACTTTCACCCATTTCAATCAAACCTACCTTCCCACTGATATTAATACTAGGGTCAAAAGATAGTAAGTAGGTATTTCTTCAGGTTGGCATAATTAAGCATCAGTAGCCCTTCTACAGTAACAAAGGACATAACTCAAACATACTGTATGAGGGAAGATGCAGTTTTTATGTTTGAGGGTTTCATTTACCATTGCTTGCTCCAACGGACTTGCTAAAGAACTGCAACTTCCACTTTTACCAGTGATTCAGCATGTATGTCTTTTGATGACTGAAACGGAGGCAGCTTTATCAGCTTATTCAAAGAAACCCATCAAATACCAATTTTCCATACCTTTTCACTTTCCTTGATTAGCAAATAACTGTTATCTTAAATACCTTCAGAACCAAGCAGTTAAAACAAGTCTAAGAAACACTGCAAGTCTGGCAATTCCCTTCTTCCCTCATTTCAAATTCTCAAAAACTGGAAAAATCTCTGAAAACATTTTGTGCTACTACAAGTTGAACATTTTAAGTCAGTCAAATACTTTGAGGGAACTACTAATTCAAATATCAATTATGTCAATCTATTACATTGAAGAACTCATTGACTTACGTGAGGTACTTGGTCTTATGTAACCTTCAATCTAGGAATAGAAATAATTTCATATCAGATTTTCTGATTAAAATTTCATAACATGTCTCTAATGCAACTGATTTTAGAAACGGAACAAGTATGTTTATTTATCCCAGTATAGTGTAGCCCATAATTTTATAGATATATAATCTTGTAAATATAAATTAAACCTGAGAGAAAATTTGCTTACATTTGAGAAAATTTAAGTTGCAAAAATTAAAAATCTTTGAAGTAAAGCAGTAAAATTTCCGAACCACTGAATTCAGACTGGACATTTTCTATCTAAAAAATCTGACTTCTTAAAAATAAACAACTTTGTTTTTTCAGATGAATTTCAATACTACTGTTCTTTTCCCCAGATTTTTTAGGGCAATTTTAAATTAAGCCTTAGTTCAATTTAATACTACACTTCCTAGAAAAATACAGAAATTTGACAAGCTTTGTCAGCAGTACTTTTAAAGTACTTTTAAAATTTACTAGTTTGAACATAAATGCACTGATAAAAGACCCATTACCAGATACTTTACATTTACTTCCAATTACCTTATACATTTTTAGTCCTTCAGTCTTCTCTAGCTCTCCTGCTATCCGTCTGAGAAATGAGACTTTGCATTCTTTTACATCTGTAGTCTCTCTCTTCATTTTACCTGGAAATTCTTTAGACTGTTGACAAAAAACACTTGAAACGGTCAATATCAAAAATCATCACAATATTTAAAAATTGGCACATTTCACATTTTGAACAAGCTTCCAAAATACTGGTAAACACTGTTTTGAACATTATGAGCTAGTTTATTTTCTGTAACACAACTAATTACATTTAATGTTAAAGTTGCTTTAGTCTTCAAAACAAAAAATGGATACTATGCAAAGCTTGCTACCAAAAGGTAACATTCTCTGTACCATGCGCAACACTACAGGCTTGCTGAGGAATAAGAAAAAGAACCACAGTGTTCTAGGAACCTGATCCTGGAGGCAGTCAAAACACTTAGTAATGGAGAAGATACAGGACATGCACCTCTGGACTGCAATTCCTCAATAGCTCACAGCTTCACCACTATTCACGTTGATCTGACCCGTGAACAGTCAACCATACAAGTGTTAGCAATTTATCATATGGGGGTTTAACCTTCAAAGTTGATGTAAATATTTATAGAAAAAAAAAGGGGGAGCATCATAAAGAAATTGTGACCAATATGCATTAAAATTACTCACAATGTATGCTCTTCTGTGCTTATATCCACTAAGATGTTCTATCATAGGTGCCATCTCTGTATTAAACCCACACAGCTTGCACTCATAATGAGGCTCTTTTCTTCCTTCAAATCTGATTTCAACTACATGTTCTAAACCTGTAAAGGCAAGAGTTACAAATATCTGTATTTTAGTATAGACTACTATAAACAAATGTATTATCTTCAGTTTTGCTCATTAAAAGCCAAAACAAGTAAATAGAAGTATTCCATTTTCAGAACTTCAACAATTCTTTGGACCTATTACCTACATCAGTTAAATTTATCTCTTTACAATGTCATATTCTAAAAGGACAAACACTGTCTATGGCAGATTTGCAAACCCACCAAAATGGAATATTTCATGTACCTTCTTTCCTGCCTGGAGTATTTTCAAGAAACTAAGAAAGAACCTTCCATTCAATACAATCATGTAATAGAATTCATGGAGAAGTGCATATAAAAAATAGAATGAGATCAGGAAATGCCACGCAATTGTCTAGATTAAGAAACTGCATTTAAACTTAGTCAAACAGAATTTGGACAGCGTTCAAGTAGCACAAAGCACATATAGGAAAGACTTCACAAAACTGAGTCCTTCATAATCTAAAAATCTTCCATAAACTTTTAAGAGTTACAGGAACAAAAATGAGATTTTTCTTCATTTTTCCTAGAACAAACTGAAAGACTATCCCTTAGAAGTATTTAGAAATCTCTAAGTTTGAGGCTTATACCTATCATGAAAAGTTTTACTCTGAACAGCTTAAATGTAAGACATTTATAAGCAGCTTAAAACAAACAGGAAAAACCTGCATCTGTTCCCTATTATCATAATTTCCAATACTGCATATTTGTGATGGGTTGACCCCAGCCAGCAGCCAAGCACCACATAGCAGCTTGCTCACTCACATACACACTCCTCAGCATGATGGGGAGAAAATAGGAAGAGCAAAAGCAAGAAAACTCACGAGTTGAGATAAAGACAGTTTAATAGGTGAAGAGAGGGGAAAAAAGAACAAAACAAACACACAAAAACCAGTCAGTCACCTCTCCGCAAGCAGATCAATACCCAGACTGTGTCTGAACAGCCGCCTTGGAAGCTAAACACACACATACACACACTTTTTTCTTCCTTTACCTAAATTGTGATCACTGAACATGACGTTATGCAGTACAGAATATCCTTTCGGCCAGTTTGGGTCAACTGTCCTGGCTGTGCCCCCTCCCAGTCTCTTGCCCACCCCCAGCCTATTTAAGGGGTGAAGGGTGGGGGGACCCAGGGTGAAAAAAGTGTCTTGAGCTGTGCACTGCTCAGCAACAGCCAAAACACTGGTGTGTTTATCAATACAGTTTTAGTCACAACTCCAAAACATACAGGCTGCTATGAAGAAATCCAACTCTCTCTCAGACCCACTACAGTATTATACTGCTAAAACTTAACTCTGAAAATAAACTATGACCAAACAAATTGAATAAGCAAGAAAGCAACACTTTGCCATTCACCTTTTTTTATTAAAAATGCTTATACTAATAAATTACTATGTTTTTAAATATTAATACTGTATGTAGAATAACAGCAAGACAATTCACTAAGCAGAAATTCTCTGATAATATTAGGAAATTTGCTACTTATGGCTTCTTCAGGGAACATATTTCTCTAGGCTGCCAACACATACGGGGAATACTAAGGCCACTGACAAGCAGCATTGTTTATCCTCTCCTAAGGGTTTTCTATTCTAGCAATTAGAAAGAAAGAAAACCTTAAAATTTATCTCATTTAGTATTCCTAAAGACAGTGAGGAAAAATATCTCACTAAACAGAAACACCAAATTGTATGTCCCATCAAACTGAAAACCACAGAATCACCAGATGACAAGTCACCAGTGGCATGAAGTTTAGCTGGAGGCCAGTAGCTAGTGGTGTACCACAAGGGTCAATACTGGGTCTAGTCCTGTTTGATGTCTTCATTAACGATCTAGATGATGCATACCTTCAGCAAGTTTGCTGATGACAGAAAACTGGAAGGGGTGGCCTATACACCAGGGTGTCATGCTGCCATCCAGAGGGCCCTCGAGGGGTTGGGGAGCTGGGCTGACAGGAACTGCATGCAGTTCAACAAGGGCAAGTGCAAATTCCCACACCCGGGGAGGAACAAGCTGAGGTACCAGTACATGCTGGGGGGCTGACAGGCTCGAAAGCAGATTGGTAGGAAAGGACCTGGGTGGACACCAAGTTGAAGGTGAGCCAGCAATGAGCCCTTGTGGTCAAGGTGGCTAATGGTATCCTGGGCTGCATGAAGAGGAGTGTTGCTAGCAGGCTGAAGATGATCCACCCTGTCCACTCGGCATCAGTAGAGCCATGCCTGGAGTGCTGTGCTGGGAAGTCCAGTTCTGGGCTTCCCAGTACAAGAGACACAGACATACAAACGGACATGAAGATGAGGAAGGCACTAGAGCATCTCTCCTATGAAGAAAGGCTGAGAGCTGGGACTGTTTAGCCTGCAGAAGAGGAGGCTCCAAGGGGATCTCATCAGCTTGTATAAATACCTGAAGGGAGGCTGTAAAGAAGGTGGAGCCAGGCTCTTTTCAGAGGTGCCCAGCAATGGGCCCAGAGGCTATGGGCACATCCTGAAACACAGGAGGTTCCATCTGAACATCAGAAAGCACTTTTTCACTGTGCGGGTGACTGAGCACTGGCACAGGTTACCCTGAAAGGTCATGGAGATATTCAGAAGCCATCTGGACATGGTCCTAGGCAACATGCTCTCAGTGACCCTGCTTGAGCAGAGGGTTAAGACCAGATGACCTCCAGAGGTCCCTTCCAACCTCAACCATTCTGTGATCTGTGAACAGCTTCTTTACTAAGATGGCTCCTTCAGGAACGAGTTGTCTTAATTAGGATGTATAAAAGAGGTGGCCTTTATAGTACTCAGTGTAATAAGCTAAACCTTAGAAGTATAAGAGATAAGATATATCCTATAAATTATTCAATACATTTACAGAAAATGAAACTATATCTAAAATTCCACCTTTTATTTCAAAACAAAAGCTATTTGGTCACAAATTCAAAGATATACTATTTAGAAAAAAAAAAAAAAAAAACAAAACACAAAAAAAAAAAAAAAAAAAAAAAACACAACAACATACCAACTAGAGGTTCTTCTCTTTTGGGATCATTCATAAAGTCCTTCAGACAGGTTATGTCCTTTGTGAGTCCTCTCCTCACTAAAGTAAAAAATATACACATAAAGATATATTACATATTAGACAGTTTACACATAATTTCTATTATATTAGAGGAGTTCTAATCGAGACTTAAGGGAGACAAAATTAATTAGTACTCTGAAATGTGTAAGGAAAATGGGCAAGATCTCAGTCACTCACAAAAAGATTCCAACACATTCTGTTTTCCATAACAACTTTACACGCAATGAATTAATGTCTTCAAGAAGAGAACCAAGCAAAACAGACCTTCTAACACAATCCAGTGTACTGAGGAAAGATATAAAGTTCACATTCTTAGCATGCCCCAAGACCATGTCCTCACCATAAAAAAAAAAATGCCACCAACCTCATTCTTCCCCTAAAACCCTAATACTCATATAGCATACTGAGACTGCTTGGTTGGAGTCTGAAGTCCAGAAATCATACTGCTGTAAATCTAATAAAGAGTAACTGATCTTCACCAATACAGCAAATGCCTCTTGTACTCTGGGCAGACCAGAAGCTGCACAACCACAGTTAGTATGCTCCTAAGCCTGAACTAGCAGTGTTTCAGCCAGGGCTGTATCTTGCTCCTCACTGTTTTAAGATCTTGGTTTTGCACTGCCTAAAACACTTTTAATGTAATCCTGGCCAACTCAGAGCACCAGCAGAATTCAGCTAAATGTATCTGCAAAACAGTCTCAAAGAGGCATTAAGTATATTCAGGTGTTGACCATTATAAAAGAGCATGCTGAAGTGTTAAAATATGTATTTTTGAGAAAAAATGTGCAGAAATAAAACTCATCTTCCTAACTACATACAGCTGTATTGTAACTGACTGATGAATTTCATAAGAGTCATAAACACTGCTAGTTTCTTCAAACTGGAACAAACAAGTAGAAATGCTACAAGCACTGAACTGTTACTATGTTCTTCCCCCTTGGGATGCCAGGTTATGTTTTTTAAAAAACAAAACAAAAAAACCCACACAAAACAAACAGAACTTCAGAATGATAGGGAATTCTGTGCTTGCTCTTAAATAGTCATTCCCTTAGAAATATGCTTGTGCTGCTATCAAGTCAAACTCCAGGGTTGCACACACACACAAAAAAAAAAAAATCAAAGTTCCAGTACTAATTTATATGGAAAGCTTCTTGCAATTTATTTGTGGTAGAAAACAGCTGATGGGACACCTCCTGCCACAGCAACAGCATGGCCCATTCCCACCAAAACTTCACAGTCTTGTTAAAATCTTTCTCTGTTGTTTTGGCTTTTTGTCTGAGGTGACATGCAGCAGTAGCATAATGTGACAGCTGATATATAACAAGTTAGTGCCACCTAATGAATCTCCATAGACAGATTTTTACCAGCACTTAAATGTATTATGCTGTTCTCATGCATTTGTGTGCCTGTGCAGTAGCCTGCAGTGTGAGCTGGGTGTTCCCAAGCTGACAGTGGAAGGCATGTGGTCTTTTGGGCTTAATATGGAAAGATCCACACAGAAAAAAAATTAAAGTTCTCTGTAAGGTAATGACCATTTTCTTTTTTCTTCCTAACATACAAATAATTATTCTTGTCTTAGCATCATCTTGACAATAAGCAACCCATACTGCTCTTGGTTTATATGCTTTTGTTTTGTCAAACTTCCACTGTACCATACATGTATACACACATGCATGCTGCAATATTTTCTTTTGAAAACTTCACTAGCTAAAAAAAAACATTAGCTAGATTCACTGATATCAGATGTTACCACATCATAAGGGAGATAGAAACTATGTCTCAAGTCTGAAAGTTGTTCTGTGAAAATACTTATAACTTGGAAGAAATTCTTCCCCATGTGGGTGGTAAGACCCTGGCCCAGGGTGCCCAGAGCAGCTGTGGGTGCCCCCTCCCTGGAAGGGTTCAAGGCCAGGTTGGACGGGGCTGGGAGCACCCTGGGCTGGGGGAAGGGGGCCCTGCCCGGGGCAGGGGGGGTGGAACTGGATGATATATAAGGTCCCTTCCAACCCTAACCCTTCTACGATTCATATTTTCCTAAGATCTTTTCTTACATAAATTAACTAGTGCACAAAATAAAAGCAATGGTTCAAATGTTTAGGAAGCAAAGCAAGTTACTAAACCATCATCAACCACCTGCTTTGGTCATCATTAAAACAAAGCCACTGATTTCAGAGTTGCACCTGAAAAGGACATTAGCTCATTTATATTCAACTACCTGGTCTCTGAGTTTCATACTTCATCGGCGTTTGCAGTGGAGCTTGAGGACCTAGGATAACAGTTTGACAGTCAGACTACTTCTCACTCGCTTTTATGAAGTACCTAGTAGATCATCCAAACAAGTTAGAGAATTGAACAATTATCTTAATTTTACAGTTTAATGTAAGGCTTAGTAATAGCAGTATTCCACCTTGGTACACTTTCTTTTTGTAACTTTACTGCTCTAAGAAAAAAGTCTTCCTTTCCACTCGTCACAGAAGCATAAAATATTCAATTTTTATTTTTTAAGTGCTTTTCACACTGCTAGTTATTATAATTATTTTAACTATCCAGCATTGTGCATGACAGTCATCTGTGTTTACAGGTACCCAGCAGAAAACTTCTGGTCTAAACATTTAGAGTCTAAACACAGTCCCAGACACAATTCATAAAGTCACTGAACTGCATCTTCTTTTACGTAGGGTTCTGTATATATTCTTAACCATTCAAGAGCTTTAGAGTGAATTTTTAGATGTGTTTTTGTAAAGGTACTTCCACTCCCTTCCTTTGGAACTTCCTTCCCTTGCCTGCCTCTTTCCTCAAATCCACTGACACACCACAAGTGTGCTTTAACAATGTTCTCTCTATTTCATAAGTTGCAGCATTCAATATTAAAACGAGTACTCTTTCACTGGAAAACCAGTACTCTTTCACTAGAAAACCAGTACTCTTTCACTGGAAAAAGTGAAAGTTTAACTTAAGCTATGTATTTGCCTATGCAATTCCTATTTTTGAAGTGAAGTAGTTTTACAGAGTCATGGTAAATACAACATGTTGTATACATCAAAGTTTTTCTCCTCTTTCTGCACAAGACAGGCAGTTAAGAGATACATTTAAAAGCTGTAAATCAAATCAAAGTTGTAAACATTTTGCAAATAACTCTGCAATGTTAACATAAGGGAGGGGTATGAGAAAGCATATCCCTCCTTGATTTCTTATAAATTAGCCATCTTTTTCAGTAAAAAGCTTCCAAGTCTCAGCTAGCATGAATAAAAGCTCTTCATGTGCTCTGCAAGTACAAAAGTTACTTAATTCCAGAGTTGTTCAGTTAGCACCTGAAGCCCATGTAGTTTCCAGGTCCAGCATCTGCAGACTGACAACATGGCCAAGTGCTAAATGACACAAATACGTACCTGTGAAACAAGATTTTTAATGCTTTATTTTCTGCTTACTTCTAGGAGCAAGTTGTATTTACACAGAATTGCACAAGAAGCAGTTCACAGTGCAGTCTGCCTCTATACAGTTGAAGTTTACAGATATGGCCAAGTTAAAAATGAAGTTGTAGCTGCTACTATCAAAGGTAGCACTTTGGGGTTTTGAAATTTTTTTCCCTTAGAAAAAAAGAGGCATTTAGCAAACATTGCTGCCTGAAAAAGTTTAACAAAGCAATTATAATCTTGAAGACACTCTCCCATTCAGCAACAGCTGGTTTCCAGGCTAACATTTAATTCACATTTACTAGCCACATGGTTTTGTAATACTATTAATAAGGTAAGTTATATTTCTTAAGCATCTGAAAACCAAAACACAACAGTATTTTCCCTTAAAGCACACCAGGCTGACCAATGAGATGAAAATCAGCTGGACTGCCACGTTCAAAGGCCAATGATGAACAGTCCAGCCTCTTGGTGTTCAGTAAGCAGCAAAGCACCCCGACGACTGATTCCAGGGCACACAACAATTAAGATAATAATCATTAACCTAGCTGAGGATGCATAGAACACCCTTGGCAAATTCACAGACAATAATAATTTATGGGATACAACTGATGTCACAGCTTCAGCTGAGCAGGACCTTGGGAACATTAAGGATTAAAAAAACATAGTAAGAATTGTAGAGCTCTGTAGCTAAATCTCATTTATAAGTCCAAGCTTGGATCTGGCTGATTGAGCAGCTGCACTGTCAAAAAGAACCTCAGAATTAATGATGAATGCTAAGTTGAATATTGGCAAAAAGCCCATCTCCCATAAACTAGGCAAACCCCATACTGAGACACTGCACAGGCAACATACTTTAAAATATCTCCTCCTCCATTATTTGGGACTTGTGAAGCTGTCTAGTTCCATCCTTCTCCAGTTCAAGCGAGATGTGGAGAAAGCAGAAGGGCTACCAAGACAGACAACCCAGGGCAAATAACTCACGAGAACAGGTTTGGGAGCTAAACTTGCTTAGTCTGGTAAAGTGGAGGCTAAGAGGAGGTCTAATAGCATGGATACCTGAAGAGCAGTTACAAAAATGAGTCAAATCCTTTGGGGATGTGACAACAGCATAACAAGTAGCAGCCAGAAATAGTTGTTTAGGAGGCACAGATTAGAGGTTACGATAAAATTTCTCTTTAAGACAGAAAAGCCGCTACAGCCTGATTAAACACAGACTCTGCCATTGGAAATGTTCATGGCGTCAGTACCCAAGTGATGATCCAGCACTGACAGCAGTCCTGCTTCAATCAGGAAGCTTGAAAATCACCTCAACAGTCTTAGGAAATCCTTCCCAATCAATCATTTTATTTAGTGAGGGATATTTTCCAAATACTACTTACCTATATGAACAAAAAAATCCCTTTCAATAGTCAATGACACGGTGCCGAACATGTTTCTTCATTCTCCACCTTTTACATCTATACACGTATTTGTAATGCACAAACATTCCTAGTGACTGCCAGAAATAAAACAGCTATGTTTCAAAACTTAAGAACAGTTTCAGACATTGTCAGTTCAGTTACTTAGAGGCAACAAAGAGGTACTGGGCTCAGCACTGCAGATTCACTTTTGCATATGAGAGGTGAAGTGTATAAAGACTCTATATTCCACTGTATGGGGGAACTCCCCAAGATAGAGGTGGTAAGGGAGTTAGAAGTACTAAGATTGAATATTACTCCATTATTACGGTTTCTGAAACATTTTTTCTTCTAGTCTAACTCAGAAAAGAACTTCCAGGTTTCCTTTCTTTGAAAATGTAGCGGTAGTTTTACATTCCAAAACATTATACATACTAATCAATGCTTGACAGACACTGAGCATGGAGGGACATGTTAAATAAATTTATTTTATATCATAAAGCTGAAATGCTGATCAGGTTACAGATATGGTTGTCTTTGGTGAACTGAAAGCAGAACACAGGACATTTGTGCTTTCACTGGATGAAGACCTTGTAGTCAGCACTGTTAAACAAATACAGCTCATCTTCAGATCAGATTCCTCCCCTTGACTCCATGCTTTACAGAATGACCATAATGATGCTTTCTTTACTATGGTGCTACTTAAAGGTTAAATAATGTAGACACAGGTTGCTATATCCAGCAACTAAACACCTGCAACATCGGTTATTACACTTTCATTTGTATCATGGAAGAGAACTACTGCAAGTTAACTCTTCATCTTCCTGTAACGCAAGAAAAATTCCACAAGCCATGCAAAAAAAAAATCCATTAATCCACTTCTCTTTGTGCCAAGTTAATTTCACCAATAAAGCTAGGCAGCCCAGAAATGGCTTTAATAGGGCTCATACTCTATACTATGCCTCTTACCTGAGCTGCCACACTTTAGCAGCAAACCACTGGATTTTGCTATTGCCCCGGCAACATTTGCCTAACATGTATACTGGCATTCCCCCATCATTTAATGTCTCTTGCTCAAAGCAGAAAGTTTTGCAAACTTCTGTCTGCTTTGGCCAAAAGGTCCCAGGAAAGAAAGCAATGTTCAGTCTACTCTCCTCCTTATTCCTGAGCACATACATGCAACTGCCTCAACTACAGCTGAAAAGTATTCCATCTGTCCAATTATATCATTATACAAAGATATCACACGATGGACACGTATACACTTAACTGAGCTTTGATTTAACTCTCTTAGTAAAGTTCTAGAACTTCAGCATCTTCTCTTCCCACATCTTCCATTAAGTTGCTCTCCTCTGAACTGCTGGAAAGCAGACAAAAAAAAACCAGCCCAGATATCCAGTTCTGTCATTACCACAGAAGTAACTGGTTGATATTTTTGCCATATGGAAACTCACATGGTATCCAGATGCCTTTCCTACAGAAAGTGGTAGTCCTCCAAACACAGTCATCTGGAATCAGATGCATTTCCTGATTGTACAATCTCCTTGGCTTTGCAAGTTAGTTAAGTTAAACAGTCAGGTTACTCACGCTCATCACTTCCAGACTATGAACAGCTACTTCTGATGAGCTCAGAGAAGATACTGTACATGACACGTCCCATTTGAAAACAGTCATAACCCAAATCATTTGTCTTTGATTTTGATTTACAAATGACAGCAGCACTGGTGGTATTCTTCCTACTGACAAAGGAACTTTTATTTAATTCTGCAGCAAGGAAGAAATTGCAGATGTTGGTATAAAACATTTAAAGTATGTCAAACCTCATCCTCTGAAGTACCTTCTTCTTTAGACAGTTCACATTTCAGACACCTGTCAGGTTTTGTCCCAAGTGATTTCCAAGAAAACTCATCCTTCACTTTGACAACATCCATACATTTTTGTTCCTGGCTCTTTGAACCCCAGCTCTGTGAACATGCTGCCACATTTCACTCACACTGGGGTATTTGATATGAACATTAGAACCAGACTGCAGATCCAGCAGCACTAACTCCACAAATGCAGTATAATTTTTCTCCATGCTTACAATATGTGTCTGCAAACTGTAAAAAAAAAAATTAATCAACTATTTAAAATGAAAAAACAAAGCCCAAGCAAATTCAGAATTTATTCTTCTTTCCCAGTGACAGTACAATGAATTTCCTGCATCTGCTGGCTCTTGAGGGAGATTTTTATGTGTAATTGGTAATACATCCATGGGAAAGTTTCGAGAAGTTCTGCATATATATTGATATATTCCATAAGATACACCACAGTTGAAAGATTCTAACCCATTACATTTCCAGTTATGCAGTGTTTATAATGAACATACACTCTTAGCCTGAATTCTCCATGGAATGGTGAGCTTGTAGTACATTAAGCAGTACTGTTTTCTAAAGTTGTAGGTCTTTGAAACTGGCTCCTGTATTCCACCATTCTTTTTACAGTCTTGTTGCCACACCTTCTGTTCTCTTATTCAAGTCTCTCTCTGTCCCATGCATCCTTTACACTACTCCTCCAAACCAAGATTTTATGGTCTTGAAGCAAGAACCTCTTCAGTTAACAAGTATTACCTTGAATGATCTTTTCTGACAAGAAATACAAAGAGTTCTCTAGAAATTGTCTTCCACTAAAAACACTAGCCCATAGCCAAACAAAGCTGTTGTTTTTGCTGAGGTATAAATACAATTTTGGACTGCTCAAATCCACTGGATTTTGAGGAGATCTATACGTTTTCAGAACTGCTGCAGAAATTCTGTCAAGAAGCTTCATTGCCAGTATTTCTAAGAGATCTGCACATGGTACTCATGTCTGTTGAGGCAAAACATCTCATAATTGTTCACACACTTGAATGATACATCTCGCAGTGATACTCTCTTTTCAACACCAAACCACAAGAGCAGCTAATGAAGCCCAGTCTCTTAGAAAATGGACTCTGACCAGTGCTTTTCTAAATATTTCTCTTGTGTGGATTCTTCAGGGTCCAGTAAGTGATGAGCTCAGCCTGCAGCACTTCCCCCAATTGAAGGACTGACACCATCACTCTTCCCCATGCAGATGTGTATTTTCAGGAACCCTTGATCAACTTGGTTCAAAAAGGCTGAGAGGTTCAAAAGATACTGGGAAACACACGACAAAGCCAGAATGTAAGCCTTGTTTCTTAGGAGAGTAGGCTAAGAAGATAAAGTAGAAGTGAAAGGTTTATTTCTTGTGATGACTGACTGCATAACCATTTTGGAGTTTAATCTTCTCATTGGTTATTATCAGTATTCCCATATCTGCCAATGTTCTCTGCTTCCTGTACTTTTAAAGTCTTGTACATTATCATCAGTGCCTTTGCAACAAGATTTCCATTTCCACTGTGCGCTAGTTATAGCCCATGTTTTCAACCTTTTACCACAACTCTTATTTCCATTGACCTACGACAGTCTGGAATCATATTCTCAGTTTCAGGGGGAAAAGATACCCCAACAACTGAGTTTACTTTGAATAGGTCTTTGCTACTCCGAGTCTGTTACAATGAAGAGAGTCAGAACACTCCTGTGATGCAGCTAGGCAACTCCAGCACTGGTGAAGCTGCATCTGCAACAGCACTGTGTTAGCCTGCTGATTTAACTTCTTAGCAAACTGCCTGAAACTTCTCAATGAGTGCATAAAGCTGACAGGTAAGTGGGAGACTGTTTAGCCTGGGAAGGTAAGAAACTAAAATACTGGGTATCCATCCCTCTGCTAGACAGATATATCAATATTTACATGTGGAAAGGCATAATTAAGGTTTCATGCTCTAAAATATTTCTTTACTCAATAGCTCACTAGATAGAAAACTCAGAAGAATGTTCAGCGTATAAAGAGAAACACAGTTACAGACACATAAATCTTGAACTTGAACTACTAAAAAAGCAACAAACATTTAAATCCCCAAGAAATACCTACCCTAGAAGGCTGGAAAGAAAAAAGCATTATACTTACAATAGACAGTCTTGCGTCTCAGGGCTTTCTCTTTCTTTAATTATGAAGATGCAAGTCATCCCAAAATAAAATAAGAAAAAGAAATTAATGTGCTGCACCATTTGAAGGAAAACCCTTGTACTTCCCAAGAAGCCTTTGCAGATGAATTACATGACAGGCCAAAGTTTCCATTATCAAATAGGAAAAATTAGAGCCTTTAGGATTTTTGCAAAAGCTGGAAGCACTGACATTGTACTTAGTTATTATAAGGCTAATTTCAAGAAAGCCCTGTTATTAGTGAAGTTTTAAGATATGATTATGGCTTGAAGCACAACATCTCAAGGATACCAGACAAAACTGAGTTCTGCATGATTACAACTTCTAAGTTTTCAAAAGTTGTTGTTCCAACAAAAAAGAAGAAAAATAAAACTCATCCCAAAAGGAAAAACTAACAAAAAGCATCTCCCCTACCATTTTGAGTGGATTTGGGTAAACCTTAAGGTTAAACAAAGCTGCTGAGAGTTCATTCATATCACAAAGAAAAGGAAAAGTGGCTTTCATCAGCTGAATCCAGAACAGATTGCTTTTTGGCAGAGTCTAAGGAAAAGAAGAACTTTAATTTCCATTTTAGAACATGGCTAAAGTGATCCAGACTCATCTGGAGAACTTTTTTGCAAATAAACACAAACTTGACATTTACAAGAATAAAACAGCGATTGCTCTACCAGTAAAGCAGCTGTCTGCCCAGAGCAGTGCACAGAGTTGAGTGCTGTATTTTCAGTATTCAGTGGCATGGAAGAGATGCTGCATGTCAGTGTGACAATTCAGTAGGAAGCAAGACTGACGCAATAGTTAATTGTTTAAGAAGCCAAATAGCTGTTATAATAAAAGGAAGTTACCCAAGTCCCAGTATCACCACAGATAGTGGGTGATGTTGTAGGTGTTCAGCAGGATTTTGTAAGCTTAGAATACAGACAGTTTCCCTTGTAGTTACACTGCTGCAAGTATTTTCATTACTTGTCATTCTACAGAGTTTTACAACAAACAGCTGCTAATACCTAACTTTTCAGACAAGTCTAGAAAACAGTAGCAACTGTAAGCTGCTGCTCAAAGAGAATTTCTTCCTCACCATTTTCAGACGGTCAACTTTTACTTTGATTGCACTTGGATTACTGCTTTTGTTAATATTAGGAGTTCCACAACTAAAGCTAATAGGTCCATTTTACTTGTGACCCCTCCTTGAGGTTTCTTTAAAGAAACAAACCAGCAAGCAAACAAAAAAGGCAAGCAAGAAGCAAAAACCTCAAAACTACATCAGGAATGAAGGTTCTCATACATTAGGTAAGAAATTCATTCTCTGTCCTGGGTCATGTATTGCAAACAAGTTACAACAGACATTTTTGTGCTATGACTGTGAAAAGTTAGGGTAACTTTTAACAAAGTGACTGGTTCAAACCTCCTATGCACACTATAATCTGCAAGAGCTTCTGCATAATTTAGTTTTCCACACAATTCAAGTTTACATTATCTAATGAAACAGCTTCACATGCTTAAGTATGATGTAAACATAATTCAGTAGTTCCTAAATATATACAGACTCTTGAAAGCGTATAGGCTAGATGTTAGCAGCCCATACACAGAGAGTCTATTTATTTTAATTCTTTAAGTTCATACTAAGCAAATCAAGTTTTTTGCAAAAGAAAAGCTCTACAGTTTAAGCCTCTTTGGATCATGAAGACAAACTGCAGAACTTAAGAGCATACTTCTTGAAACCCAACAAACAATACAACAGCAAGGCAATTTTCCTGTAACTGAAACTTAGCTATGTTAACATTCCAAGTATAAACACAAAAATGTCCAATTAAAATGCTTTTCCAGCATGGTTGATTTTAATGCCATACAAAAGGATAGAAAAGTTGCCTGTATTTCAGGTATTTTCAACCACAGGTTCTGATGCACAACAACCAGGGGCAGGAGATATAGCAGCAATGAGAACACTGAAATGGCAAAGACAAAAACTACCAACTCTCTTCACAGATCTGAACATTCCGTGTTTCTAATGAGGTTGCAGAGTCCCGAATGCAGATTCCTCTCCTCTTGGAGCACGGTAGGCATTTCTACCCTCCCTATCACCAGATATGAGAGGAAGGCAAGGAACCCCGAATCCTTGATAGAACTAGAAGAATCTTCCTTTGTGCTCCATATATAGTTCACAGAAGAGGCAATACTCTTCTGCTTGTGCCATACCTGCAAAGGGCTGTCCAAAACCCATGGAAAAAAGATATTCCGCTCCAATATTTCCTCTCTAGCAAACTGAGCAATAAAGCTAACGAGTACTTGCAATACCATAATACAATATATCACCACCATATTCCAGGTACATGCACAGCAGGTATATTTTATCTGGGGACTGTTCCTTCAAAAGGCCTAGCCTTTTACTCAGCTGTCAGAAAAGCACAAACACACCCTTCATGCATTATATCCCCCCATTACTCTTATAGGCTGGGTTCAATGAAAAACATTAGTAAACTTACATAAACGTTGTTTTACAACCATTTTACCACAGTGGCTAAAAGTAACATTCAACTGTTTTTCAAAGTATGTAATACAAGCCAACTCTGATTTCCAAAGAGCCAAGAACTATATGTATTCACACATATGAATGCTATTTTGTCTAAGTCATTTTCCACTCACCTCCCCCCCGTCAATACCTTATTCAGCAACAAATCCACAAAACCTGTCAGTATGCAACTACACAGGTCATAAGGCACTTACTGCACAAGATATACACAGCCTTGCACTGTGGTCATCCCAAACCCATCATCTTTTGTCCATTGATACTTTTTACATGGGCTTGGCCTCGTGAACTATCAGCACTAGAAAAAATGAGATCTGTATTTTGCTTATTACCCAAGATCCAGGTGAAGGACACAGAAAGCACCATAGTCGTGAACACTGATGTCAGTAAGAAATACAAACTCTTGGCACAACAAAGAATCAACTCTCAGGGACAGAAACTAAATGAACTCTAAAGAGGTACATCATATAGAATTAAAGTATTACCTAATATTTTGTAAATTAAGCATTCAAAGACTTGTGAACTTCTATGCTTAAGTTTCATATATAATAGAATGCAAGTGGCAACAATTTTATCTAATTAGATAACTGATCATTTATTATTTGACTAAAGCAACTGCTACAAGACTTATTTGAAAAAAATATTCACATAAATTTCAAAGCACAAATGGAAAAGGCTTCAAATAAACAAAATCTATTCTAGTAACAAACTAGGAAGAAAGTCATGGCACTGACTAAATATTTGCTTGAAATCTTTTTACATTATTTCTATTTTATGATGCAATATGTCACCCAGTCTATTTCTATCTCTTGAAATCAATCACACATCAATCCAGTGCGTTAGAGCATTAAGCCTGCAAATACACAAAAATACAAATTAAACAACTCAGGACTCACTCTCCTGTAAGAGCAAAGATTCAGCTTAATGCACCAAATTATTAACCTCCGACACAGAGGAATTCCATGAGGCTTTAGTTATAGGCTTATTCTCTTTTAGTTTGGAAAGTAACAAAATATTTTTGGTAAAACTTCTGTCCAATTTATAACAAATATGAGTATCCTGACTAAACTGCCATTAAAAGACAGATATTATTTACATTTTCCCCTCCAACTGCAAATGATTTAGGCACTATCAGTTCAAACACTCAGACTGAGAGTCAGTACAGAAAAACATTCTAAAAAAATCTCCCTAGTTCTACAGAAGCACTACATTCAATACAATTTACCTAAGTATGCTTAGGTGTTTGAGAAATGGGCTCTTTCAAATAAATTATTCATACTGATGCTATTGTTTAGGAGTCAATGGTACCGATTGGGTGAACAAAACAATCAACATATAGAGATGAAAGAAAAGTATGCAGAAGTAACCTAGGTAAATATCTTATGTACACATCCAAAATCCAGAATAACCAAACTACCCAGGTGACAAAAAAAAACCCACAAAGATACAATAACCACGTACACAAAGTCAATCGAAGCATTCCTACAAATCTGTCAGATAGTCAAGCTTTACTGGTGCAGCTACTCAACACATTTTACTTTGAGTAGTTATGGGATACATAGGCCAATGAAATGAGAATCATTTCACACGTGTAGCAAGTATTTACATTTATTTCTTAGAATTTTCCCAGTGCCTGTCCTTCTGATAAAGGGTTATTGCTTGTGTTTTTGAAAGTTCTTTATCAATGTCATTTTAAAAACAAATGGGTAGCTGAAAAACCAACAAACAAGTCATCTGACTAAAGTCATAAAAACAGCTGGTGGGTTGGCCAGAGTTGCAATTTAGGTAAAGAACTACCATCTTCATTTTATTAAGTTGTCAGGACATTATTTAGTATTTTGAACAGGAACTCCTCTAAGTAAAGAACTAAGAGTTACTATCAACATCTAGCCTGTATCAAAAAAGAACATAAGCTCAGGACTTCTATGGTTACTTCAGACTTGGTGATACAAAAACTTCTTGAGATAACTCAATTCTGACCTTCTTCTGACAAAACATACAATAGATTTCAGAATTTAAAGTGAGGAATTAGAGGTAATTGAAAACAATGATGACACAATCTTGGAGAGTCATTCCTACAGAAATGCAGTCTTATTAATTATCATGACTCCACACACAAGCACTACCATTTAACATCTAACAAGCATCCAGTTTTCAACCTGCCCAATTCTTGCTCACTATCAGTTTGCAGTCCTTCATTACCTCGAGTTTGACAAATGTAGCCTAGCGTACACTGATTTCCAAGAATGAAACAGAAGGAAAACTACATGCAGATTTTCTAACAACTTTAAGCAGGAAAAACAGCAATAATTGGATTGCTAGGAAGGTTAGCTAGGAAATAAAAGGAAACCACCACAAAACCAATGGAATTCCTTGCACCAAGAACATTTGACAGGACATGAAAAATACTGCAGGGCTGTACAATTCTAGTGGATCAACACAGAACAAGAACTGAGAATATGGAATTTTAAGCAAAAGAAAATAATCAGTCAATCCACAGTTGAAAGTGCAGTCAAACAACATTTATAAAAGCTTTGTCTCTAAATGTCCTCACAGAACACCGTCTAATAATTTAAGCACAAAGCAAGCAAAGGCAGTAAACCAGGAAGCGGTTACTGAGATGCTTTAAACAAGGAGAATCATAGGACTTGCTAGTTAAGCCTGTGTAACTCCAACAGGAAATGTGAATTGCTGTTACTATCAAAGTAACATGTAAACTAGCTTTAGTCAAAGTACAGCTGAGTTATGTAGACTTGGAAAACAGAGCAGTACCTTTACCAACTTATCCAAAACTAGAAGTTTGCATTCTTTCCCTATCTGTGACTTTAATATAATTCAAGTGTTAATTTCACAATTAACACACATTCACCTTTAGGTACAGTTGATGTTTTAAGTTACGTGCTGTACAAAACAGTTGTGAGATTCCCACCTCATCATTTTATTGGGATTTTCCAAGCAAATCACTGTTACAGATCTACTAATAAATTAGACAAGCACTTGAAGCCATGTGACATCAATTACTGAACTTTACAAGAATCCCAGAGTTATGATTAAATTTGCATATACACTTAATATAGAAAAGGTTACCTTTCTATGCTTTGCACCACGGTAGTGTGACTGAAGACTTATAGAACTCATACATGGAACTTTACAAACCTAAAAAGATAAATTGAAAGCACATCTTCAGTTATGCTACAGATATTCTGTAGTTGGCAAGTTGTAAGAACTGGAAATATACCTGTTTCTACAGCATAATTCTCAAAGTGTTCTTTGGCTTAAACTGTATAATTTGCATGACATTCAGTAGAGCAGCATACCACTAAAGTGACCAGAGATAGCGTGCAAACCTGTCCAAATGGTACTTAAATACATGTTTAAATACAGCAGGTAGTATGAATCTTTAAAGAGCCTCCTCCTTTCCTCCTACCACCACTTTATGGATTCTTAGTTTTCTAAATTTCTCCAGGCTGGAAAGCCAACAAAAAAGGGTGATCATGTAGTGACTAGAAACGAACAGAGACAAAATCATGCCCTAGAGTAACTGCAACTCTTCATTCATTGTTACATCAAAAGGATCAGAAAATCAATGGAGGAAGACATCAGCATTTCATTAAGAGCCACAGACATACATATACCTTTACCATAGTTAATGGAAGACAATATAGAACTACAGTTATTTCTTACGATCTTTAGCTAAAAAAAACAATGACTAATATATGTCAATACTGTCTATTTTCTTAGCATAATATTGCAGAAGTTTAATTCGCCAGAATAAAATTCGCTCCTAGAACAATACACAATTGACAAATTTAACACGTTCCGGCCCAGAGTTGTAGCCTTTACAGATAAATGAGCATTTCCAGTCGCCTATGATAAATACTTAACAGAGACATGAAAGACTGCAATTAAGAACCATTATACTGCACCTGTAACTGCTCAAGAACAAACTGAATTCACCGAATTCTAAAACAAGTAGGTCTTCCAGGCACCGACCACAACATTCACATTAACAGCTCCTCTCACTGCCAAGTTTGCCACGCTACATCTAGGTTAGGTCTGCATTTCTAGGAGCATGGTCTTTAACACCTTAGGCCTGCATTTTTGCGTACAGTCTCAAAAGACATCATGAAACGCACTCACTTCACAATAAAATATTTTTTTTTCAGATTCCCGTTTGTCATCTTCCGGCTTAACTTCTTCAGTCACAGTGCTCATCCTGCAAAACTGGTTCACCGCACACACTGGGAAAAAAAAAAAAAATCCAACCCTTGTTTATACGGTACTTTTCAGCAAAGAGTCGGGGGCGGGAGGGAAGCGTCAGTCGGATGAATTAAGCCGATTATTCTGATTCAACGCATTTCTAGGTGAAACCGCATCTTTTATCACTAGGACACCCTCACAGCCTGCAGCCTTCCGCCGACGGTACCCTTCCCCGTCACCCTTCCCGGGGAGGTTCCCCGGAGAAGCCGGCCCCCCGGACGCCCCGCTCCCCGCCCCCACCGGCCGCTGAAGACGCGGCGGTACCGCGGCGCCGCTCTCACCCGGCGCGGCCGGTAACGGCAGCAGCCCCGCCACCGCCCCGCGCGCCCAACCGCATCCGGGAGCGCGAGCCCCCCGCCCCTTCTCCCCCGTTCCGTCACTTCCGCCGCTTCGCAGCGACGAGGACACAGCGAGGGGAAGGGGGGGGAAACCCCAGCCCCACGCCCCCGCTGCTTGGCAAGTAGCCAATAGGAGAGCAGGCGGCCCGCCTCAACCAATGGGAAGCCAGCACCTCCTCGAGCGGCTGGGAGGCTGAGCCTTCCCCTCCTCCCCCCGCCCCCCGGGCCCCGCGGGGGGAGCCCCGCCCACCCCGACGGCAGGAGCCCCGCCCACCCCGGCGGCCTCCTGGCGACCCCTGGCGGGCCGGAGGAGTCCGGCGCCAGTGCAGCGCCGGGCAGGAAGGGGCGGCGGGCGCGCGACCGGCGGGCCAGGGGGGCGGGCGGGAGAGATGCTCGGCAACGATTTTAATTTAAATGCAAATATTTATTTTAAAATGTCTTAACTTTACACTTCTGACTGGTAATAAATGTAAAATATAATTTAAGAAATACACTTGAAAGTTCCTTCTAAAAGCAGACCGGGGAAACAGTACAAAAAAATAACCGAAAAGTGCACCGGTTTTAACAAAATTTCAAAGTATCAAATCCACATTTTACCGCCTGCTTTTAATTAGCTCGCTAGTGATACATCTTGAAGGTCTATTATAGTTGTACAGGAAGCAGCACAGTGGGTACTGGTCAGGTTACGTCTCACCAGAGGTGGTGTCGTTACCTCGGTTTGCTTCGGCGGGAGTTGCTGGGTTGGCCCGCCCGGGGCGGCCGGTGGGGCTGGGCCTGGGCCTGGGCCTGGGCCTGGGGCTGGGCCTGGGCCTGGGCCTGGGCCTGGGCCCGGGCCTGCCCGCCATCGGCCTCCCCGCTCGGCCAACACACATCACTGAATCGCGAGCCCAGTTGCGTGTGTTACACGCACAAACCGCCACGTTTCCAAATCATGCTCGGGTGGTTGTGATGTCCTCTCCAGAACTCTGCCCTTAGTTTTGGGGATCGTGCGATACCGGTTAGGCCAAACCTGTTGGTAGATCTCCATGTACCTTTGTTTTTTTTTTTTCAATCTTGTCCTCCACTCTGTTTCTTCAGGAGGAGCAGGAATGGCGCTTTTAAATACAGGATTATTAGCTGAGTCTGATGGCAGATTATACCTCTTTTTGAGATTAATGATATTATTTGCACTGGTATTTTTCACAGGCGTTTCTGTAACAGAGGCCTTTACATGGAGTCACATTAAAATGCTTGATAATTATTTGTGGTTCTAACATCAACATCTAAAACGGACTAATTGAAAACACTGCACCGTCCATGCTGTGTAATACCTCCATACCCTTCTTTAAAAAAAAAAATAATAATAATTACAAATTAAAAGTGCAATTGCACAGTGAAAGATTAAAGATGTGTAGAAAAAAATGAGAGAAGCAAAAGAGGAAAAAATGGGTTACTTGGTTGTTTGAGAGAGTCCAGGTCTAAACACAAAAGGATTTGGCAGTATACATACTTGTAGAACTATACTGTTGGTGGTAGCTCAGAAAGGATGTTTCACCAGCAAAGTGACCTTTTTTCTCTTTTAGGAGTACAGCTGTAATTAGTGAGTACCTCTGTCTTATTAAGGAGGACAGAGGGGAAATGGGGGATTGCACTTCTGCCTGACACCTCTTTTGGCAAAACTTTTGAAGTATGCCTAAAGTGGAAATAAAGCTACAGATGCGGAAAACAGAAGGGGTGGAGGCCACAATATATCATCCTATAAAATCAAAAAGATAGATTTGCTAGAGAAAGAAAATGGAAACTTTTTTTGATGGTCACAACTGCCTTTAAGGCAGAAAGTGTTCTTTGGTTTTGTTAAGAAGCTATGTAGGGGGGAAGGGGTGTGAGGAAGGACCCTTTCACAAGAGGGAAGTTTATTGACCATGTAGAGAAAGAATCTTTTTGGCTATGATAAAAGTAGAAAGAAAACTGAATACTGTTATTGAGAAACGAGTTAGCTTTTGCCTTTTGAAGTTCTTTCTTAGAAAGACAAAATTTTAAGAAAAAGCACAACAGCTGAAGCTTGTCTCTATCTCACATTTTAAATGAACAGAAGAAGGATGCATATGGTCCAAAAGTTTGGTTGGGTTTTTTTTTGTGTTTTTTTTTTTTTTAATGAAAAAAAAAATTCAGAAGAGAGAGTAGTGGGATAAGAGAGAGACTGAGATGTGACCTAAGAAGAGGCAGAACAGCAGTGTAATTCCTATGACATGTTCCTGTGCAAAATGGGGAGCTCTAGACCAGAACTTCACCTGATTTTTTTTTTTAATATAGCCTTTTAAATAGTTAAATGCAATAACTGAGACGAGCTAAGTAGCTGATGTTCTTTCGCTTACCTTCTGCCGCATTTTTGTATTAGTCGTGGAAATACCATAATTCTACCTGTACAAATGTGAAACTGGAAATTTTGGCAGTTGTACAGTCTTCCTGGAGTCCTGTTGCATTAAGCAAATCCTGACAAACTTCAGATTGCACAGTTAGAGCACCAGCTGCAAGACTGAGTGAAAAGTTAATGCAGACATTGAATTTGCCAGAGTTTGAAACACTAATCCCAGGAAAGGAAGAGGAGCACTTCATGCCTCCTAGAATGATGTTCTCAGTCTGACTGAGAAATACAACTCAGCATTAAATTACCTCGATCCTTATTTTCAAGAAATTATTTTCAGTCTGAAAAGTCACAAGCTCAGTTCTACAGAAAAAATTACAATTCCAGAGCAGAGTTATTAGCAACGGGTAGAGAAATAATGCTGTAGTCACAGAATAATTACACCTTGACAGCAATATATCAGTCAGGGTGAAATTTTTTTCTCCCCATAATTTTTCTTAACAATCTTTTTTCACTTTCCCTCCAAACATCCAACCAAAGAAAGTATTTGCCTGAGCACAGGCAAGTGCTTGGATCTCCATATGTTTTGGTTTGTTTTGTTTTTTTAAAAAACCTTACTTTGTGTTTTTAGTATATTTTTCAGCCTGTCACTGATTATTTTGTTCAGAAGCATTTCTGATAGCATGATAAGGAAATGTATTTATAATGACAAGAACGTAAGCCACGTGTATCCAAGCATGACAAAGACATACTTTCAGGATAGTAGTGTCTATGGACATAAGCTACCAACAGCCTTCTTGTATGAATCTCCTCCAGCTAGATTAAAAACCTTAAAACTACAGCCTCAGAATGGCCACCTGCAGAATTTCTTTCCTCACTACACATGTTAGGAGGTCTGCTTCTGTTGAGACACATTATTTCACACAGGACTTTGCAAGATTTAAAAGGGAGGTAGAAACTCCAAGGAACTAAACTCCTTTCCAGCAAGAAATTTTCTACAGTCTGTTTTAGGCTTAGGGGTTTTCTCTGACTATAATCAGTCTTTCCATTTCAAATGTGTACACTAAGACAGTAGAGAGAAAGAGTAGAAGAGAGCAGAAAGAAAAGAAAGAAAAGCAGAACAACAGGCTATACCTCCATCATTCTGAGATTGGGTTTTTTAGGTTCATGACACTTTGATGAAAGAAAATGAGTAAGGTAAATTTTTTCCCATTACTTAAGGCAATATATGTATTCATATGTAGGGGAAGAGGTGTCCTTTAACTATTTCAATTTTAAAAAAAATTACACATTGTTAAGACAAATTAATGGCTTTTCTGAAATAAGTACAGTGGGTGAGGCTGTCCTACTTAAGTTCCAGTGTGGCTTCAACACCAAGTTAAGAAAGGCTTCTAGGCAGCAGAAGCTGATCTTTTCCCACAGAACATTCCTTGCTTCAGGCTTGTTGCCTCCCACCTAAGTATTTTAAGCACTAGGAATTTCTGGAAGAATTGAGCATGCACTGCTGATCTCAATACCGTATCAAAGGATCGGCACCTAAATTCATACTGAACTGGATGCACAAATGCCAGACTTCCCTAGCCATCCAGAGGAAACTCAGTTCTAAGGATTTTAAGAATCCATCACTATGTTCTAATGAAGGGTGATTAAACCATAGAGACATGCTTCACGTGATCGTATTACGGTCAAGGAGTAGGAAGTCAGTCTTTCCTAGAGAGAATTGAGGTTCTTTCATTTCACTAGCTAAATCTCCAAACTGAGGAGCAACTGAAACCAGCTTACCCCTTGCACGGTGCTGCCCTCACTCAGATTTTCAAAACAAAGCTCTACTTTGGTATCAAGAGATAAAGTGAACATAAATTACCGAGTATTATCTACAGCAGAGGTCTGCCCCACTGCTTTCAGCCACTGGTTTAACTGCATCCCAGCAAACCTTAGAAACAGCAGGAAAATTAAAATCCACCCTTTTTGCTGTACAAGTTTACCCCTAACTCAAATCAGGTTGGTTTTCAGTAAAAATACTGTCTTACAATGGTATGCTTCAGTTGGACCAGCATTTGTATGGTGCTCAGCAGCTGCCTGCTGACAGCTAAAATCAGACCACATTCGCAGTAAAGACAAGACCTTAATCAGCAGCTTTAGCATTGATAATAGTCTCTGCTCTCTGTGGACTGAGTAACATCTCAGAGGGAGACACATTCTCAGAGCTTTTAGAACTCTTCACCTTCTATGCCAAAAAATACAGTCCCCCAAACACCAGTATTCATGAGCTCGTTCTGTCTCAACCTTTGGAATGTTTGTGGCTGAAGAAGTTTGAATGCTATCATCAGTCAGGCATTAGAGGCACACACTGGAAAAAGAAAAGCATTTATTTCAGCCTGAATTCACCAAGTTCCTATCAGGCAAGCGTTTGACTAGGCATTTCTTCTACAAGAGTAATTTTTTATTAGTTGTTACAATAAATGCATTGGGAGGCTCCTAAAGCAGACTTTAGGGCTGCACTTGAGCGATACAAATACCAGCTCATTAAGGATAAAAGCTAAACACCAGTGACTGAAAACATCTTGAACCCTACTTCTCAGTATTAATTTTTAAAATAACACCAAAGCAACCACAACCACTAAGACAATGTAACCATTCAAAAGAACTGCTCTGTCTTTCATGCTATTTACTGATCAGTGTCAGGGGATCATTAATGTCTGCATATAAAAAGGTTTTATCAGATTAAATCAGTGGCAATTTAACAGGGTACAATGCAGTGTCAGATTCCAGTCCAGACTAAATCCAGGGCACATGTCATGGGGAGAGGATGAAGGAATAACTGTGCCTTAAAAGAAGATAACAGGAGATTCTTTTTTAGCATTTATTTCCTCTATGCTTTCCAAATGGTGCAATATACCAAGTACTTAGAAGGAACTGGTCTTTGTTTATATTAACAGTGGTTATCAATTGTCCAAAAAGAGGGTAAACTCTGCTGATCTCTTTATAAGTGAAATTCTCAGGATATCGCTGGATGCATGGGGTAACTTAGACTAAAAAGAATTCCACTGATACCACATTTCTTCATGTGAGACCTGGAATAACAACTCGGCCACAAATTAAGTGGGCCAAATTCAAACGTGATGCACAGGCTAAGTGTATTTTTCTTGGATTCAGATTTTAGGGAATGATAAGAAAGCAAACCCAACTGCATTTACACCAGGGGGAGTCAGAAGCTGACATCTCACTTTTGAGTCACACATTCATCCATCCTCCTAGAAGAAGGCCATTACATCTGTTATATCAAATTAGATTCTCTTACATCTACCTCTATAGCATCAATTAAGATGTGTAAAACGTGTCTGGATTTGTTGGGAACATGAGAAAAATTATCCCAACTGAAATAAACCCAGAAAGCCTTAGATAGAGTTATGTCAACAAAATAGCCTTTATTCTGTAACGGAGAGATCTGTAAAGAACTTCTGTTGTTAGTATAAATTGCTTCCACACTGAAGAGAGAAATCTGGCTGGAATAGTTCTCCCTCTGTAGTCATCCTAGGAAATACTTCTAAGCGCAGACAGGGCATTCAGTGCCACAGTCCTCTGTGGAGTTGTGCCTGGTGTATCCACTTACGTTGTGCAAAATGGCACCAGCATGTCCAGATTAGGAAAATAGTGTTTTACAGTTATGTTGCATCGGTGTGAATGATGAGAGAAGGTGCAAGGTAGGGTGAAACCAGGCCCAGGTACTCTCATTCAGAGGGCTGTGACAGTGACTCCAAGTGTGGAATTAAACGAGCAGCTTTTCAGCAGTCATGATGGCGTGTCCTCCACTTGCCCCCAGCCACGCATTCCCACACTACCCTGTCTTCACACCGTCCCCTTTCTGCCAGGCAGCTGCACAAGGAGCTGGACTGGAAAACTTGACAGGGTTCATAGCACAACCCTACCAGCAGCTGGGCGGCCACAGCAGAGTGTCTGGCACCGGCACATAAAGCAGTGCCACTGCTACACGCCAAGGAAAGGACTATGAGAGCAACTCTGTGAGAGTCTAAAAGAACTGCTGCTCTTATTTTTGACGATGGTGAATCAACGAGGCAGAGGTTGTGCGGCCCCGTTGATTTATGGCAGTCTCACTCTACATGAGTACCTGCTTTGCTTGCCCAGAAGTATTTTTGCAATTGGGCTTGAATTTGCTTGGTGTGAAGGGTGGTGTACCAGAGAGTGGTGTAAATTCCACCACTGCGGTCTCACTTCAGAATGGGGCCTGATGTTGCATTGCACCCACTGGCAGGAGTGTTAAGGCGAGGATATCAAGACTGTCTCAAATAAGAGGCAGCATGTAGCCAAAAGGAAGCTGATTTACACCAGACACAAAAACAGGAGATGTTCTCATGGCTTGGGTGTGGTTAGGTGGACTGTGGCAGATTTAACTGAGCTACAGTAAGACATTATTGCACCTCTTTACTGTCCACTCTTGCCCTTCTGCTGGGAATACTGCCTTCTGCAGGACAGTTGTCACAGGGTAAGTGCATTATCTCAACCATTTCAGTGTAAAGTGCAACATTTCAGATCAAACCACTGTTCACCAGCACTTAACTGACATGCAGAGAGTGTGTATCTTTACATCTGCTGACTCTAATGTACAGGCAGCTGTTTCTATCTGAGACGACAGACAGTCTTGGAGAAGAGCAGCCTCCCAGGTGCAGAACCATTCCCCTACCTGAAAACTACACTTAGTCCATATATTTATAGCATTTGGGAGAAGTTTATGCCACTGTTCTGGCATGTAAAGCCATGCCCTTGGTGACTAATAGATATAGAAATGAAGACATTGTAATTATTTGTAACATTTTGAAAAAAGAAAACATTCATTATAGGGCTTCTTTCAAAAAGCACATATACGTCTAAGCTTTTTTTAAATGATGTGGCTTTTATATAGGTGAAATTGATATAAAGTTGAAATAGTGCAATTTTAAAACAAAAGTTAGTGCAGGAGTCAAACTACAACAACAACAAAAAACAAAACAGAAGTTGTAGATTTTTTTTTTTTTTGGAAATACATCACTGCCTGAGTTCAAAGGAAAGCATATAGACCTGTTTTCAAAAGCACCAAAGTGCTTTTGAAAGCTATATATCCTCCAAGTAGCTCTCAGTGATATTAAGATTTTCTTTTGGAAATGAAACCAGGATGCTTTTGAAAATAACATGTCTAATCTTGGTGTGGGATTTGGTTTTGATGTCAGGTGATGATGTCTAACAAGCTGCTATCAGTTAGAGATACCATTAAATAAAAAAGTGATTTTCCTTTGTTAATGTTACAAGCAAGGAAAATAACTGGAGAAATATTTATTTTCTTCTCATGCACACTTAACAGCACTTTGTAAGTCATTTATAGAAGTGGGTAACATCCCATTGTTCAATCTTTCAAACAGCAACATGAAAGGCTGATGGCTTTATAATGGAAAAATATGGGTACTAAACATTAGTATTATTAAGAAAACTTGGGGAGAACTTCAGTTTGAAGTGAAATAATTTCTAATGCATTTTATGAAAGTAATTTGCTTTAATTAATGCTATCCTTTTAAATTAAGAAGCTGTGTTGGGTAGCCCTTGCCTGTTGCCATCAATTTAATGTAGAGATAAAGGAATAGCTGACGCTTCTTATTAGAATAATAACCATAAAAAGGCAAAAAATCCTAAGGTAAACTGGCCACACTGAAGACCATAAACATTTTCTCTCTGCACAGAGGCATCACATCAGCTTGAGAAAAACAAACAGAACAAAGGCAGGAAACAGAAACAGCTAGTCCTTGGTAATGAACTGTAGACAAGAGAGGAAAGATGATAAAGACACATTAGCAGGTGTACCTATGCAGTGAGGAATGATTATTTTTCTGTGCCTTAGGTTTTATCTTTCCTTCTTTCCAAAGATCACTGAGAGAAAGATGGGGGGGGGGGGGGGGTGGTGGGGGTGTAGGGGGTGTGTGTGTGTCTGTGTCTGGTTTTACTCACACACAGATGCACACAAACACACACACACTCTTTCCACTGGCTTTTAATTTTAGTAACTCCTTTAACCCAACTGGAAGAGAATCTACAACTTCTTGCTTTTAACATTATAAATATTCCAAATGTTATAAAATCTATTGTATAAATGTACATTCAGTGGTTTTATGAGGCACAGGACCTGCAAATGTGTTTTCAGGGAAGCTCACATGTACTCTGCTCTGTCCAGTGTTGGACAGTGGTGGAGAATCCAGGGGCTCGCGCTTGATTGCTTGAACCAAGCAGGGGTTTTTAAATTCACACGGCATTTTAAACACCTCGTTATTCTGCTCTTTCTCCTCCCCTGGGCTGGGGCTGTAGAAGTGGCCGTAGCACGCCATGTGCGGCAGGTCAGGCATGCTTTCCAAACACCCGGAGGAGTTCTGAGGGCAAAACGGGGCCACCTCCTTGCTCCGTGAGCCCTTGCAAGATCTGTTCAGGTTTAGGTTGTTGGGATGATTTGCTACGATGCATTGCCAATTATGCGGCGTGTAAAGGCAGTGCCTTGGCTTCTGACAGGGTGAGGCTGGCTCACAGAGGTCCGGTTCTGTTTTGAGGTGCACTCTGTTGGGGTAGCTAAACACTTGCCTTCTCACCGAGCTGTTCTCATCCAGCCAGGCTCGGTTTTGCGACGTCAGGTAGTTATCAGCAATGTTTTCGGAATCGGAATCATATTCCATTTTGATAGGCATCTCCAGGGGAAAGGCTGTGTCATAGAGAGACTCTGAGGAGATTAACGGTCTCTGCAGTTTCAGGTGGTCCATCCCATAGTTCTCCCCACAGCGCTGTTGTACACCCGAGTAAGACTGGCAGCCTTCTGCACTCCCCCAGTGGGAAGGACAAGTTGATGCTAAATTTAAGATACTTTGGTCTCTGTTGTAGAATGATCCAGCTCTCCTGTTTGAACATGTGTTCATTCGCTGGCTCACAGAGCAAGAGCTTGAGTTTCTTGAAGTCCAGCTACTGTTTGTGGTGCAGTTGTTTTGAATGCCTAAAACTGGTGTGTTAGAACTGAGAGGTTCCTCTTGCATAAAACACTCACCATTTGTATGAGGCTCAAACTTCACTTTTACGTTATCTTGTTCATTTTTTACTGCTGTCCAGTTAAGATGTTTCCACTGGCCCAGAGTTTCAATGGCACTATTATAGGAAAGTCCCTCCAGGTTTCCTTTCAAAGTGGGAAAACCACTTGGTATCTTCAGTTGTTCATCTTCTTCCCTTTCAAGAACAGTAGAAAAAAAAATCAGTTAATCAGAGGCTTCTAAATGGATGTTTTCTGGGATACAAATGGAGTGGCTCAACATATATTACAAGCAATACTTTGTCCTTAACTAAATATGGGACTCTCACACTCTTGCCCATATAAACTTTGAATTCTTTCAAGAGAAAAAAAGTGTGCATGCATCTGGGCATCAATGTGTGTGTACAGCCACCTTTCTGTGGCATTGTTTCATTTAAATTCTACCATGTACTCTTCCATCTCAGGAAGTTCAAAAAGACCTTAAATATTGTAGTATAGGATGGTAACTACCTTACACTTTTGTTCTTCCCTTAAAATATATCTAAATAATATTTGTGTGTAGAAAAATCTAGAGATAATATGCAAAGAGTGTCTTAAATGAGATGTAGTTTGGTAACAAGGAATTATTTGGACACATAAGAACTTTCTGATCAAAGTAGTTTGAGGGAGAACCATGGGGGTAGTTTTGAAAATTTTGAGGCTGCAAAGTTAGCTGGGAGGAAACAAAATGGCTGAATTAAGTTTCCAGAATAGTCACAAATGTTCATAATGGGTGTAGGTTTGTTTTACATGTTTAACTTATGTTGCCTTTTGTTTTCTAAGATAGCCAGTGAATTAATTTTCCATGACCTCCAGCTGAAATACTCAACATTAGCAAAGAGCTCTGGCAGAAAGTTGTCTGAGCATTTCCATGCCTGATGCAGCCGTTTTCAGAACCTGGGGTCAAAATCTTTAGGTCCAGGATTTGTCTCTAATACACTAACTTGCTGATTCCTGACTAGTCAGGATCAGTGCTATGAAACCACACCCTCCCTCTCTGAACAAGAAGTGGACAACTCAATATGAAAACGAGCATGAAAACCTGGAGAGCTAGTAAGGGTTTTTCAAGTCTTAGCTTGCTTTTGCTTGGGTGGACTCAATGTGCAAGTATAGGATTTTCCAGTAGAGGGAGTCCATGTTGTTACAAAGAGAGACTGTCCCACTGTAATAAATGTACACCAAGAAAGGAGGATACTTTACCTCTTTTTTTTCCATGAGGTATTAAATGTTTCCAGTCCTCTGCTAAATATTGTTATTTTTATTATTGGTAGGCTTGAGATGAAAGAGGTATGATACAAGTTTGCTGCAGAACTAACTTCTCAGGAAATGGTCTAAATCCAATAATCACAAAAGCTTAGACCCCCAAATGAAGAATTTTATAGTGAAATAGTATCTAGTGAAAATTCTCAAAAAAAAAAAAGTATATTTCCAGGAAGATGGCACACATTTTAACAAAAAAAAAAAAAAAAAAAAAAAAGTAATAGTAAGGACGAAGTCTATTGCAGACTATCAGGAGGACAGAACTGAATATAATCTCCATGGCTAACTCTTGCAACACTTCAGTCTGTGGAAACTATCAAGCACAAAGAATTTTAACCACTAGAGGGTAAAAATGTAACTGAATAAACACCAGAGATCATGCTCAATTACACAAAACCCAATTAAGAAATAGAGACTTGAATACAAGGAGCAACCCCTTTTAATCTGCTTCTTAATAGGAGTTCATTCCCTCACAGGGCAAGATGATGTTTGTGCTGTCCCAGTAAAGTTGAAGCGTTCCACCACCTTCAGGTGGGAGCTCCTCTCTTATTCACATGGATCCTGAGAGATATGCTGCCTGCAAGGAATATCTACTCTAGAAGTTCAAAGTCTTTTTCATTGATTTCTTCCACCTGCAAGGCATCCTAAAGGAAAAAAAGCAGTGATAACAGCCACATTTTTTCCACTGGGCCAGATGGTGGCTGTGTACACCTCCTGGACCCTGCTCATTCTGTCCACTCTTATCTTTTCCCTCAGACCATCTTGAAGAGATACCTCAACAAGGCCCACAGGAAGTAGAACAGACAATCCCATGGGGAAAGGAAGAAAAGTCTATTTGGGAGGAAAGGGTAAAACCCAGTGGAAAGGTCTTCTTTGAATGTAAATCTGTGAAACTGGCTTCCACTACAAGGGTGAGCCTATAGCCACCTAGCAGTATCTATCTACAATATGCAATGAATATGAGCATCCGTGTTTAGATTTTGTTGAACTTCCACAACTAAAAACATGAGCTCAACTGTAATCCCTAAAGCAAAAAAAAAAAAAAAAAATCTTAACATTATCAAATGTAAAAAAGTAGAAAAACCAGGACACCAAATCAGCAAAGAGTTTCAGCTGCAAAGTGAAGCAAAACTGCAGAATAGATTTTTGTGCAAGGAAGTCAAAACATATTAATAATCAAGCATTTTGGTTTTGAACTATTTTGTTTTAGTAGGTATGTACAATCAACTTCAGAAGAAAAAAAAGACTGAAGAAAATAAATAAATATTGTTTAGGATTATAACAGCCATTTCATGTGATACAAAACAAAAATGGATTTCCATATAATAAGTAAACTAAATCCATCTCATTCAGCTCTGCTCTGAGGTCACTACAGTCCTTTTAAAAATCTCATACATAAAGAATACATTAATTTTTCTGAAAAATAGATTTTTTTTTTTTTTTTAGTATTGGAAAATATACTTACTTTAACATTTGCTGTTGGGCAAGGACATATTCTGAACAACCACTTCGATATAGAAGTTGAGTATTAGCTTGAACCCAGACCCAGTGATCTTCATTTGTTTGTACTTTGACTAGAGAAATGCCATTTTCTCCATTATTCTTTGCTATACAGTTTAAAAGAAAATCTATTTTAATACAAGCAGTATTTAGTACTTTTTCTTAACTAAATTACAGGTGAATATTCACAGGTTTGTTTGCCTCCCAGGAATCATCAGCATAGGAAAGTACAAGCTAAAATATGTCACAAAACTAGGCAAATTACATTGTAAAAATAAGATTTGAAAAGCCTAATGAGGCACTTATACTATAACCAAGGTCTTTTCAATATTATTAGTTCATTATAGTTTTCCCCTCTCAGTAATATTACTATATTAACAAGAAAACATTCATGAAAAATGGGGCTATGATAGAGGAATGGTTTTAAAGAAGTCAAAGGTTTCCGGCAGATATGAAGAAGACTGACTACAGCTCTACTCAAGAAGTTGCTCATTGGCGTAGACTCACCATCAAAATTTTATCCATTGTAAAGTCTGAAATACAGCACAAACTCTCGTAATATTGCCACAGCCAAACACTGGGAAAGCATGAGTTAAAGCTGCAAGCAAATCATGAGTTTTAAGGACAATACATTCTGATTTTCCTCTGTGTTCTGATCTTTGGGGAAAACTAGCATTTGTAACATATCATCCAGTTTTCCTTGAAGAGGGATAGATATTTTCATTAATTATTATGATTTTCACATAATTCGGTGCTGCCATTTTTAGGAAAGCACATGTTGAGTAATCTTATTTACAAAGATTGTTTATACATCTGTAATCTTGGCATCACAGTACTTCTGCCTACTCCGAAACAGCAGACTGATTCAGTACTATCTTTTGAGGTGGATAACTTTTTTTGCATTTTTATTAAAGAAGGAGTTTTAGAGAGAAGAAAAAAAAGAGAGTATTGGGACCAAAACCGAAAAAAAGCTAATGGGAGAAAAGACAAGGTTCTTTCTCCATAAACTGTGTATCATCCAGAAGTACAGAAGTACTTACCAGACACACCTTTGATTTGGTTTTCAGCAATCTGTAACACATTAGTAAAAGCGGCGCCTTCATGATGACTGTTTCTTCCATATAATTCTGCTGCTTCACACAGCCCTGAATTACCCTTGGAACTGGAGCTGTAGAAAACAGAAAATGTGGAAAATTCCTTGTCAGTGAATGACGACACAGTAGAATCACAGACTCTGAAAGATGTGATCTTCAAGCTGTTGGCCACTAGCACAGACTTATGGTTTAAGTATGAGTAACCAACACTAAATAATTATCTGTTTCCTCCATCACTGAGTTGCTCAAACTAGTGGATGACTGAAGTTCTGCATTCAGTTAAGAGGAATAGTTATGTTTAGGAATATTCTGCTCATGACTTACTATGTCTGGAATAATAAATTTCAGCTTGAATTGAGACAAATGCTGTGTATATTCTGCTCTGCCTATTCAAGGTACATACGTCACACTGACCAGCAATCCACTTAAGAGTTAGCATGACTTCAATTTGCAATAATCATCATATGATTTGAATAGATTTCTTCCAGTCTTTAGTTCACAGTGCATATTAGGGCTTGGAAAGGGTTCAAAGTCCATAACACTTGCTTTCAAAATGTTTCCCTTTATTAAGACCATCAGAAAAAAACTTACTATATAATTTTGCCCACCATCCCTGGCTAGCATGCTTCAGGCCTGAACCAAAGGAAACACTGAAGTTAAATGCCACTTCATTCTTGTCTACTCCTTGGCCACTGTCCGGTCAGTTAGTAAATTTAAGTAAAGCCCCTCTGTTCTAGGAGCTGAATTCTGATCATCAATTAATTTCACCCGAGCCACTGAAAAACTAGCAAGTGGAAATGACTTTCCAGCTCTTCTCCAAAACCCTGCATAGTCCATTATATCAGCCTTCCAGTAATTTAATTCTTGTCAAAAGGATGTATGTGCTAGAACCACATTACACGTCTGGATAGTAAATCCACACATACACAAACATATTCTAATTAAAAGCCAAATTAGGATACTGTCAGTCACAGTGATGAGCGTTTTGCTTCACAAAAATGGACCTTATTGCTGTAAGGTTTTATTTAACCAAATAAGGGAAAACATAATCCTAGCCCCAAACATCAACTAAAATTCAATCATAGAAGAGTAACGAAAATAAGTGTTGGGAAGGAAATGAGTCTGAACACAATCTGTCCTGATCTTCTGTGATTGCTGCTGAGTGAACAGCCCCAGGCCATTCAGTGCAATTGTAGACTTATGTGTTCATAAGCCTTCTGTTGTAAGATAAATACGTACACCAAATACATCTCATTTGACTCTATGTGAGTACCCACACACATGAACATTCAGCTTTCTGAAGTTTTCTTTTTCCTTTGTTTGTTACCAGAATGCCCAAGTCCAAATAATTTTGCTGCCAGAAGATACTAAAATTTGAAAACTTTGAGTAAAAACCCTTTTTCTTTTCCACTTTTACAACTAGTAGAATGATTTATTGCATTGGTGACTTCTGAAGGTTAGGAAGATATCCTAACTTTCCAGGTTTTACACAAAATTATATGGTAATATAATAGTTAATATACATTATATTTAAATTATAATATATTATATTAACATTGTTATTATGTATTATATAGTTAAATCCAGATAAATTATTCACTTTTCTAAGAAGGAGTTTCAAAATTGAGAGTTATTTAGCCTAATTTGTACTTTTTACATGCTTAAAAAACAGAAAGACCATAGTATACTTTACTAACTGCTAAAAGATTAATATGAAAATACTTTGTATTCACTGATGCTGCGTCATCAGCTTTGTGTTTTGCTTTCACAAGCAGGCTTTTCATCTTCATCTCTGTCACAGAAGGGAGTAGAAGTGGTACCACTACGCAGAATAAGGACAGCTGAGGTGGCAGTACTGTTCCTGATGAGGACTTCTTCCTTTGTCCAAAAAGAAACTTTAGTTTGCCTTGGAACTGCATTGTCTGTTATACAAAAAGAAACAAACAAACAGAACAGTAGAAATATCTTAAGCTCTGAGTGTATAAACATTTAAAATGCTAATACAATTTATGGACCATATTGTTTAACACCAAAACTAGTTTTGAAACAGAGAGAAAAACTAGGAATTTCATTCTCTTTGTACAATTCAAACCATGCCATTTCAGAGGCATGATGAGTGGAGGTACTATCAACAGTAAAATGAGACATTTGAGGATGTTTTTGTTTTTTTTTTTTTATTTCTCTCCTGTGTACATAAAGTAGAAGTCCTTTGGCATATGGTGGTGCAAACAGCTATTTCCTCTATGCCTCACTCTGAAGCTGGAACTATTATTTTTCTGTGCTCTGTTCTCTCCAATGAGAAGGTTCCCAAGTTTCTTTCCTCTTCCCCTGCCCTTTCTCCAGGAAGTAACTGGACTGGCACAAGCCAAGGGCTGTGCAGGCAGACACCAAGGGAAAAGACATGTCCAAGACAGCCAGATACAAAGTACATAGCTTGGAAGGAGCCACCCACCCCTGCTTTCAAATCTCCATATAATCAGAAGGAAGGGATCAAGTCAATAACAAGCCACTGCCTCTTGGTGAAAAAATTGCCTACCACAAAATGACCAGACTAAAATCAGTCCATTTGAGTCAGGCATCTTCCAGAGCTACAAGATTAAAACAGGGGTGCAGAAATGACTAACTGGTACATCCATTCAGACCCATAGTTTTACAGCAAATGAGCGTCTGAGACAGAAGTTGCATTTCCCTGTCTGGTGATGATCCTCTTGTTTTCTTTGCACATCCCATACTTTGTCATAAGAAGAAACAGCATAGGTTTGTACTAAGTAAATGGGAAGTGATTTCTAGAAATCACTCCTTGTAAGGATATTTCAGGAGCACGTGAGAGACTTTCTAATTCTGTTTTTTATTATTAAAGGACCCTGTACAAAGGGGGGGAAATGGATCGTTATTATTCTTGTTCCTTGAAGCAAATACTTGGTGCCTAAATATTAATCATTAAAACTCAGGCTTGCCACACTTGTGCAAGGCCCAGTATAAATTTAAATATTGTCCAAAAGAGCTTAAAACATAAAAGTTTAGAGATTCTTTCATTTCAAATAACACAACCTTTTTTTTCTCCCATCACTCTTTATACATATTAATAAATGTCTTCAGGTCTTTCTTGTTAGTGCATAGCAAATTGAAAGTGTATCCTGCCCATGACTCTCCACAATATTTATGTTGAAATATTTTTCATATGAAGTAATTAAAATCTAGTATGCCATGACTACAGTTCTCTAAGTGAAATTATACTTACAAGGAAGCCAGAAGTACTGTCCAACAAGCAGCGAACTCGACAGATGAAACAACGAGTTAAGAAGGAAGAATAATCTGTTGTCATGCTGTCATTCTCTTGTGCTTTAAACAATTTACTGAGAATATATTCTTCTCCTAGGAACAACAGTGGAGGCAATATATATCAGATCACACTAAGAAAGAATGAAAATGTTCTGCAGCCAATTGAAGAAGCTGCTATGGAAATTGCTAAAAATCACTTTATGGAAGGGCGACTGTTAAACTGTATCATGTATAGATACATCTGCACAGGCTCTACCAAAAGAAAAAAGAAAAGCTCTACAATGGGATTCAGGTGAGTTTCTGCAGAAACTTTGACTTTTTTATTTCCTGAGTTTTTGTGATTTTTAATCATGCAATGCAGGGTAACAGATGTTGAAGGTTTTGAGATCAGAGATCACAGAAAATACATTAGAAAAAGGAACAAAATAAGGAAGAGTGCTAATGAAAGTTAAAAAACAAACAAATGAACAGTGGCTGATTAGATAATGTTCTGCTGTTGCCTCTTTGATTTTTAATGAAGCATTTCCCAGTTTTGGACCATAAGTGCATAGCTTTTGAAATACTTATTTCCCAAAAGACACAAGTATTTGTACAGAAGTATGAACTCAGGAACTCTCCACTGTATATATTAGAACTGTATATATTAGAACAAACATTGCAATTATTTGTAATTTTTCATAGTTTTAAATATTCGTGCACATTGTTTAATTTGTTTTCTATGTACTTCCTACAAAATCTTGCAAAGTTGCTCAGATATCTGTAAGACTCTTGCAAAACACAGAAACTGCAAGAAATTCCACCAAAGTTTCATGACTGTGTTGCTGAGGCTTCGTAAAGGCTGATGAAGGATTTCTCGCAAGTTAATCCCCACCCATCCAGGGACTATGATTCCTTAATTTCTTTCCTCAATTACTTCCTCACTTTCTGGTGAAATGCATCCATTTTGCTGGGATCAATAATTCTTTGTAAAGTCAACAATTTCAACCCCATTGTATTTGCTGTAGTTGTGAATTCAGCTTAACACCTCATGTAAGAGAAACCTTGAGCAGCCCCATCCACCTGCCATCCTAGGGAAATACAGCCCCAGAGGAGAAAGTGCATTGCTAAACCTACTTTTTCTTCTGAAGACTCCTGTCTACATAATTTTGCATGGGAAAACAAATGGCAGAAAGTGATGTTGCCACTGTAGTACTTTACAGAAATATTTTGCATGGGATGCTTTTACAGTAATGAGAGGAATACTAATGTCCTGAGCAGTGTGAACAAAAGGTTGATAGGATGAACACTAATAGTGCTCATTCTGCATGGATAAGAATATATGTAGGTACATTAGCCAGAGAAAAAATAAAGGAAACATCAACTTCGTCACCTCGGTGGCACACGCGACTATAAGTGTCTAGAATCAGGAAGAAACATCATCTGTGGGACAATAACATTATAAATGGCCACTCTACAGATTTCAGTGAAGAATCTGACTTGACGTGGAACAGACATGGGTGTAGGTGGAGTGCAATTCTACCTCCGTACGGTGATGCCTATGTTTCCAATCAACATATACAATCCCACCTGTTTCTGTCTGTAGTTGCTGTCCAGACAACATCTGGGGAGGATTCATGGCCCAGTGCAGTTGTCTACAGAAATCCTGGCGATCATCCACATGAATGTAATCATATATGTTTTGGTGCATTACATCAGTCTGAAACAATTACAACAAGGAATGTAATTTGTAAGTGTAGTGGGGCAGACACTTATCTTTCGGTTGATACTTTCCTTAAAATAATGACTGATCTAGGATACCTTCAGAGCAAATATTGATTGAGGACAGTTATTTCAGAGGCCCCTGTTTTTAAACATCTGCTTTTTGATTTCACATCCTAAGATGATTCTTTTTATTCTCAACTCTTTTGTGCATATGCAAACGAGAGTCATAAAAAAGTCCAGCTGGCAGCTGGTGACTAGTGGCATCCCCCAGCGACTGATGATGGGACCAACCCTGCTTAATTTCTTGATTGGTGAAATAGAGTGCACTCTCAGCAGGTTTGCAGAGGGTACCCACTGGGGAGAGCAGGACTCCTACTCAGACCTTGATGGGCTGTAAAAATGGGCTGACAGGAACCTCAGGAAATCCAACAAAGGCAAAGTCCTCTCTGCTTTTGGGTACCCCAGGAAAAGAAAGATATTAGCATACTGAAGTGAGGCCAGGAAAGTGCTACCAAGACACTTAAGATGGCTGGAGCACACGACAGACCAGGAGAGGAGAGAAGAACAGGATTTGTTCAGCCTTCAGAAGAGAAAACTTCAGGAAGGACTTACTGCTGTCTACACCAACCAAATGAGCGGGTGTAAAGAAGGCAAAGCCCGACTCTTCTCAGAAGAACAAAATGGGAGGACAAGAAGCAACAGACACAAGTCGCAACATGGGAAACTGGGACCTGCTATAAGCGAAAAAAAATTACAGTAGAGGTGCTTAAACACTGGAAAGTGTCTTCCAGAGGGGTCATAGAAGCTCAAAATTTGACTGGATGAGTCATGGATCATCGTGCTTTAACTGGATCTGCTTTGAGCAGGAGGTTGGACTAGATGATATCCAGAGGTCCTTTCCAGTTACATGGTTCTGTTATTCAGTGACTTCACAATATGTTTATTATAAACAGGCAATCAGTCTAGAATAGCAGCACCTTATACTGAAATTGAAAGGAAATTTTAAACTAAATCTTATTTTTATAATGGATAATGTTTCTGTTAACAAAAGCTTTACAAAAGGAACAACATTACAAGAAATTAATATTTACCTATTACTTACCTATCAGATCACCGAAAAAAAGAAAAAAAGAAGAAAAAGAAAATTAGTCTGAAATGGCGTAGTAAAATAACTAACTTAATTTCAGTAATAGTGTATGTCTAATCAGCAGTAGAAGGACAAGGATAGATTGATGCATTTTAGAAAGACAGTTAGCAGGAGAGTCATTACAATGACAGCGACTAAGAATTCTAAATATATGTTAATATATTTACCTGATGGAATCCTAGATAGTCCACAATGGTTGATGACGCATAAAATATCATTCCATCTGCACTCACCACCAAAGCAAAACCGTTCAGTGACTGAAGAAGGGAAAATAAAATAATTAAAAAGGTAATCAGAAAGTAAAGAGTAAAATGGCTATAAAATGTAATAATTTTTAAATATACAAGAGAGGAAAAAATCACTCTGCAAAAAAGTTGGGCATCAAATTTTTGCAGAAAGCGATTTTTTTCCTAACATGAAAAATGAACGATGATCTAGAATGTGATTTTCCATTTTAAAGAAAGTTAGGATAGCTAATTACAGTGTAACTACTATATTACATTACTAGCTTATTATCGACTTTAAATTTTATTTTGTCATTAGTTAATATAATTGACAATTTAATAGTGTCAACTATTTTTCTTTCTTTTAATTTAAACATCATATTCCATAATAATTGCTTTGTATTTATATGCATTATATAATAATCTCCAACAAGAAAATCAAATACATGTGCTGTTGTAGCTATGACTTTAAAACTGAATGTGTATTTTAAAGTATGGCTATTTTCTTAAAGCTTCTATAAAAATACATACATAGCATAATTGCATAAATGCAATTGATATAAAAAGTAAGCAATAAATATTTCACTGATATAGACCAATGTTTAGTCTACAAAAAAGCTAAATTAACTCTCATAGACTCATGGATGCAAGGAAAGCAACCAGAGAAATCTAAAAATAAAAGTAAGGATTAAATGAAATATATGACGTAAACATTAAGATCCATCATGCTGCATGCAGACTGACTAATTTTGCCTCTCTTTCCTTGATAAAGATTCAGTGACATATCTTCACTCCAGCAGGCTTGCATTCCAAGGTAGTTTAGATGATCCTTTCATGTGATGGTTCTGAGGTCTTTTGAGATTACAATTCAAATAGCTGCTGATGAAATACTGCTATATTATTATTATCCTTGCTTCACTTTTCCTCAATTTACTGTTGTAGCGATGTGCCTATTAATCCTGAGTTAATCCTGAAGCACGATTTTCAATTTCTCAGTAACCAGATACACTGACACATTTTTGTGAGATTTGTTCTCTTTTCGGTTCCTAAATAAGGACCAGATTTCCAAGACTGCTTGAAGCCTGTTCCCACTGTGACAATGGTGGGCAAAATTTCAACATTTCAGTGCACAATAGGCCAACCTCCTCAGAAGATTTGGCCTCAATCATAAATGTGAAACACCTTTGGAAATGTGTCCCAGCAGGACCATACATGGTCAGGGGCTCTGCACCTTGAATAACCTGTGAAATGGTGAATGGAGAAACGTAGTGGAGAGAGTGCAATGGCTTACCTACATTTGGAAAGAGCTGTATCAGCAACTGATTCAATCAAGTCAGTGCTAACCATGAGTCATCGCTAAGAACAGTTAAGGGCAAATCACGTTCAGCTCCAGGTCAGCTCGATAGATATAGATCCTTTCCAGTTATCTCTGCCTAGTTGAGTTTGTGTTGAACGCTAGTTATCCCCGTTCACTCTTCAAGTACAAGAAGTTGATAGACTGGTGCTGTTTCCTGGTCTAAATTATGCCCAAAGTCGTCCCAGCACCTCACCAAACAGAAGACAATCTGTCAAGATTTCTGTATCTTCATATCCATGCCTTTCACTGCGCTGAGAGGAGCCTCCATAGATGGTATCTGTCATATCCGTTTCCAATGTCAAGTGGAGACGAGAAAACATTTTTGGCATCTTGTCTCTTTGGACTTATCTTCACAGCAGTGACACCATCAGTGACGTGATGTTAGGAATTTTATTACATTTTGAACATCTGGCAGGCCTTTTAATTTGGACAGACTAAAAATTTCCTCAGAGATAACCATAGGACATTGAAGGGAGCTCCTTCACATCTGTGGCCGTTACCATGCACATTCCAAAAGACCTCCAGTCCTGCTTGTCCAGCAGAAATTAAGAACATTAAAGAAATGTTCTTAACCTATGCAAATTAATGCACTAAGCCCTATCCAGGAAGGCTTAAAAAATGACCACATGATCCGAATATGATCAAAGAATCTCACACAATACCATGCGGAACATCCTTAAAATGTGCCTTCCGTTGTTCTGCAGGCAAGCTGGAATTTTTCAGCCCCTGTAGGAAAAGGCCAGGGAGCACCTGCCTTTGCCAAGGATTGCTTTTATGAATCAATAAATAAATATGCCAACTTGAAAATTAATCTTCTTCATCTAACATATTGGTACATACTCTTTATGCCTAGACACATGCCCTAAGAGATCAGCCTCTACCTTTAAAATGTAAAACTTGATCCCCCACAGTGGAAGGCAGCAGGTTTTTCTTTATACAAGTTTCTCTCTCACAGTGCCAGAGTTGGGCTGGACCAGGTGCAGTAGTTCATAAAAATACGAAGGGGAAATGGGACCATGCATATTTCTAAGAGTTCAGATCAGTGGACTGGCAGCTACATCTGTGAGATTGGAGGAAGTATTAAGGGTGAGAGAGAGCAAGAGGAAAGAATTGGAGGAAGAGTTCAGGAGCCAAGTGTATAGGTTAAGCCAGAAATCAGTATGGATTTGAGGGAGGTATGTAAATGAAGAGAATTACAAACTTCCCCTGCTTTATTTTTGTTTTGTTCTCAAAATGCTGATGCCCTCTCCTGAGTTAAGATCTCTTAACTAAGCATTGACTGGTTTCCATGACCCCAAATGCAGATATCAGATGCTCTGCCCTGCAGGCAGGAAAAGCAAAACCCACTTTGGTGCAGCAACAACTTTTATGGAGCCACATGAGGCTATTGCGGATTAACACAAATTCCATGTGTCTAAACCTCATTTTAGCTGGGAAACCTGCTGCTTCAACCACACTAAAAAGAGACAAGCTGGACATGAAGCAAAACTTCAAAACCAGTGAGTCTTACCCATGACAGCAAATTTTTCTGTTTTCTCAGTATTATCCTAAAGTGCAGTTCAATGTGAAACCTGACATTATAGCACAGAGAACTCTGAGTGGAGTTAGAACTGGGCTGGGATTTATACTTTTCTTACTCACCACAGATGGGGAGAAGGAGGAGGGTGTTTGCTAGCACAGGCCTGGTACCCAGGAATGGGTAACAGTGATTGTAAATTAGTAGGAGAAGACCTCTTCTGACCTCTCAGATAAATCTCTCAGGTATCATATACAACTCCATACTCAAGCCCTTTACAGTAACACCGCATAGAGATTTTTTCATTATTCTGGCCAGAATCCTAGTGATTTGTTAGACTGAGTGGAAGAGAGAGACAGCTTCAGTCCATGAGAACAAATGAAAACTATTCCCAGCATTTGTGTTCTCAGTTACTGGGTCTCACATTAAACAGGACAACAAGGTATATGGCTCCGCTTACGATTTTAAACATTCTCAGTTACTGAAATAGAACTCTCAGTGATAGCTTTCTCTCATTCCCAGTGAATGTGATACTGCACTGCTGTGCTGTGTCAGAACCACAGCATCCATCTGCCTGGGTAATCAATAACCTGGGGGGAGGAAAAGGGAAAGAGGACACAGACCAGCCTCATACTCATGCAGTTTGGCCTCCCTAATGTAAGCATGTGTCTGCCCAAAACACAGAGGGGACAGCACAGAGAAGTAAAGGCAGCTCTCCTCATTTCACTTTATTTCTTTCAATAGAAATAAAGGAAAGCCTAAAATATGGCTCTTGAATTGAGAGGAGGAGATAAATTAACACCGTGAACACCGTGTCTCAATGTTGATGGTATTTCTTTGTGTACAACTGGTATGTTTTAATCAATAAAGTCCACTTGCATCCTACTACAATTTTTAGCAATTTTTCATACACTTACACATGCACAGAGGGACACATCCACACATAGAAATACACAAGCACACATACACACAAAGATATTAGCACGGACATTAAAACTTTTGTAACAAAAACTGACTAACTTCAAATCTGCAAAAAATACATGGTTGTACACTGCCATTTCGTAAAGCATATGGATTCAATGACAGATGGAATTTCTAATCCAGGATAATAGCTGAAACATGTGAGTTGTTGAATACAAGACTTAAGTATGTATTGTGGACATTTGTTTGTTTGTATTTGGCTTTTTAAAAACACTTACATGAGTTTTCTACATTGTACTTAAAAACTGAAATCATGGAGTTTTTTTCCCAAATAAAAAAAAAAAAAAAAAAAGAGCTTGGCACCAGACAGGGGCCTGTGTTCTTTTGAAAAAACATGTACATCCAATTATGTACTCACGAAAAGCTGCACCTGCTACTGAAACAAAAAACAATTAATCTGTCAGTTCAAAGAAAGTACGACATTATTCTGGTGCCCACAGTAGCCGTGAGATGAAAGTTATCAGTTCCTTCCATTAAGATTCCATTAAGAAGTTTTCGAAACATTATTAGTCAAGAGGTTCTCTTTGGGAATGAAGGCAAATATTTTGAGGAAGATAGGACTTCCTTTGGCAAGATCCTTTATATATCCTGATATTTTTTTCTGGTCCCACAGCAGAAAATCAGCCAGCAAATACTTCAAAGATATTTTGGTCAAGGTCATGGCATAGTAAAAATAAGGAGGGAAAAAAAAAAAAAAAGAAAGAGAGAGAGAACAAGTTCCAATCCACATTTCTCTTATTACTCTTCCTTGAAATAAAGGAAAATTCACTAGCATTAGGTCTCCAGAGACCATGTTGCTATGGTTACTAAAGTACAACAGTCAAGGCCTGCAGCCATGCCTTGCTTTGAACAGATTTTCGAGTCACGCAACTTGGGTACTAAATTTCCAGGGTCAGTTGGCTCGCAGTTTATCTGGAACAGCTTCATTTAATAGTAGATCACTGGGTTTTTGCATCCTATGTGGGATGCAGCCATTTTCTGGTGATCTAAATAAGTAACTATTTAAAAACTCTGGAAATGATATACTCATTCTTGTCTTAGTAATATTAGGAGGAAGATACAGACAGTTAATGTGTCTTCTGTCTTTAACTGCATTGTTTAGTAAATCAGTATTTCTTTCCACTGGTGTTTTTAGGACTCATAATTGCCCTTCTCAAAAACCCCTCCGCAATCCCTGAG